CCTCCTCCCCGCCACCAGGGGGCGCCGGGAGCGCGCGCGGCCACGCGGGCCGGTTGCCGGGGCGGCCTTCCGGAAGTGACGTCGTTGTTTTGGTTCGTCACTTCCGGCGGCGGCGGCCATGGACGTCCTGAGGCAGGAGATCAGCCGGAAGCGGCGGCAGTTGGAGGACAAGGAGCTCGTAGGGGTGAGGGCGGCTGAGATGGAGCCCAGGGGCCCTCCTGGGTGGGGGCCAGGGGAGGGCGGCCCGGGATGGGTCCGACGAAGGGGAGAGGAAGCGGCCGGGGACAGGGCCTCGGGAAAGGGGATCCGGAGCTGCCCGGGGTGGGGTCGGTCCAGTCCAGGACTGGGGAAGAGGAGCGTGAGTGGCCCAGGATGGCATCGGAAGGAGTCCGGAAGAGTTTGGGGCACCGGAAAATTGAGAGCGCAGAAGTAGGGCCTTGTTTCAGGGCCTTGCTGTGCGCCTTTAGGAGCTGGCTTAGTTATTTCTTTCAGGCACGGAGGAATGAGAGAAATCTGTGCGGCGTTTGGTGAGCGATCTGCGGTTCCCTTTCCTTAGCCCTGCTGTGTTCTGTTCCTAGTCATAGTAGGCTTACAGAGGGGTGCGTGTGTGCCGAGTGTGTTAGCTTAAAAACACCCACAGTAAAGCAGAGTGCTTTCGTGAATGTCTGAGTTCTGATTTTGGCGTTAGTGCTTTAAGTGGGGAGCTGGGAGCAGAGGATGTTTGTGGTCAGGCCAGCAAAGTATGAAGAAGTAGTAATACTTATCAAGGGAAATGGTTCAGGGTGGCCTCAGTTGGCCAGCAGTTATCTGTGTGGAAGGTCTCATCAAACATATTTCTACATAGGTGCACCAAGCAAGCTTACAAAATGCTCTGATTTAGTGTAAAATAGAATGTTTTGTATGATACGTTTAAACAACTTCTCTGTGCTCCAACCTGGACCTTGTGTATGTCTGAACCGCAGCTTTAGGCTAACGAGTACTGTGGCCTTACATGAAAAAGAACATGTTTTTTTAAAGTGCTGGTGAACACAACGTACTTTTGAGTCTGCTTATGTATGTGCTGCAAAGTTACTGTATATTGCTGATTTTCAGAGGTGCTTCCAACTAGTTCCCTTTTCAGGACAATGTAGCCATCTCTATGAAAGGATGTAGGTGAATTCACCAAAACAAGTAAGGAAGTTTGAGCCATTTTTGCCCAAGTATGTGAAACTAAACTCTTAACAGTTTTCCTCTCTTTTAGGGAAGTAAGAAATATTTTAAACGCAGTGAGTTAGCTAAAAAAGAAGAGGAGGCCTACTTTCAGAGATGCGGCTACAAGGTATGGTAATTCTTCTGCCAGGAATATGTATGCTTACTTTGAAGTCTACATTTTATTATCAACAGTATAAATGTTGTTAATGATAATTGTTGTTCTTTGTTCAATTTGTTAATGTTATACATTAGCCTGTAAATGAGAAGCCACCTGGAGAGGTATGAGTTTCCAAACCCATTTTCAATGCAGGAAAAGATATGCATGATATACAGCTACTTATGTCTGTGTTATGGTTTGGCTTTTATTTCTTTTATTTAATTTTTTGTGGAAAGCATGAAGTGGCTTGGGGTTAAAGCTTGTCTTTCTTTTTAAATTGTGCTGTTAGGCATGAACACTGGATCTGATACAGCCACCTCCTCACCTCCCCCCCATCGGAAAAAAATTTGATATATTTGGATAATTTTAGGTAAATTATTGATTAAAAAATTGATGAATTTGGATAACTTTCACGGTCTTGTCAGAATGTTCAAAAGAAATCAGTATAGCGTGGGCACCTATTAAAAAGATCTGCCAACTTTCATACTGTGTCTATTTGTATTTGGTTTTTGGCCATCGACCAGCCAGCATTGAGAGTGCAACAACAGCATTTGTTTTCTTGCTGGCAAAATGTTAGAAAACGATTGGTAACATAGAGCACATTTTGAAACAAATGAGTGATCTGGAAGGCTTTATTTGCCTTGTAACGGTGTCAGAGAAACAGTTTACTGAAATGGAAAGAACGTTGTTTTCTCTTACCAGTGTGTGCGTCTGCCTGCCTGCCTGATTATATGTGTACGGGACGGGGTGTGCATTCCCTTGTGGAAGATAGAAGCTCGTAATCTTGTTTGCTGTTACTGGACACATATAGGAGCTTTGTTTTCAACTGAACTTCACCCAGTTAGTGACTTATTCTGAAACCTTGATCTCTTTATACAATATTTGAATATCAATGCCAAATGCAGCATGTAGTCATGAGAGAGTGTTCTGTGAATCCATTCACTCTTGCAAGTTGAAATGACCATGTGATACTCTTTGAGCATTATCTTGAGTTCTTCAGAACCTTACATGGTGGTTAAATTGCCGTTATCTGTGCTGCTGCAGCACCTGTTTTGGTTTGAAATGTTATCCTGAAAATGGTTTTAAAATAAGTTGCTTTGTTAAATTTAGTACCTTTTCAGAGCCTCCCAGATTTCTGCATTTGATCTTTACTGTGTTAATAAGATGTAGAATATAGACTGATTTCTTTTTAAATTCAGGTGTGTGTTTGCTTTGCTTAGACTTAATGAGTTGTAATAATTTGACTTGCTTGAAAAAGAAAGCACTGAAACTAAAATAACTGTGGTAACGATTTCACTTGTAACTTGGAGTCCAGCTGACAGAATGGATCAAATCCTTTCCCCCAATGCTGCTGTCTCTTTATGATTTCAAGAATGTTTTGTAAGTTAAAATTTGTACGTATCCTTCTGCCATGGGAGTGTATTTCTTTATATATATTTACACAGTTCTTCCATATTTTCTGTCCCTGTCAATTCTCCCTTTCCTGCACTGATGGAAGTTTTATTTTTCCCCTCCCTTTATGTGTTAAGCGCTGATGTCCTTCCCTTGCTTGTTCCAAACACCTGTGGTTGTAGGATTGATTTTTGTGTTTGCTAGTATAGCATTGAATATAGATTTTGTGGCTGAATCCTATAGCTGGAGCCACTGGGTTGGATTCTTAATGCACATGGAGTCATACTGACATCTGAATGCAAGACTGGCACATTGACCTGAAAAAATAGAAAAGCTTCTTTCAAAAAATCTGTCTAGTACATTCATGCAACTGATCAACCCGAATACGGACTGGAAATGACAGTGTCCTGCCTGTGCACGGAGCATGCTACAGGGTGCTGTAGGATTAAGTGGAGCATTTCCCTTTTAGAAACTACGGAAAGAAAATAAATTCTAATAAGGAATCTAGGAAAAAACAAGATGTGAGTACTGGAAATGTTTCCCTATTACAGGAATATTACCAACAGTCATCTTTCTCATGCTGTCAGAAGTGTCAAATTGAGCTTATAAAGGGAACTGTAGTTACAAGACTACTGTCTCAAAGTTACTTTGATCAGAGTTGCTTTGCATTATTAAAATATTTAGTAATGAAGGAGGAAAGCTCTGTTTGATTCAGGGACCTTCTTTTAGGTTAAGAGGAGTTGTTGATGAGATCCTCTCCCTATGAGGAGTTGTAGCTATCTCTTTTTTTTTTTTTTTTTTTTTTTTTTTTTTTTTTTTTGTAACCTGCAAGAAAGATGTGTTACCTTTAACAAGCACATCTCAAAAGCCAGCAGAAGCCATGGATCACTGCTAATTGTACTCAGCTCACTGAAGCTGTAGATAGTAAACATTTTAAGCTGACACTGCCACCGAAAGAAGCAGCCCCACTCTCTCCCTGCCGTTGCGTTTTTATTTCTGCCCTTGTGTCCATGGATGTGCTATGCCTGGTGAGCTGGATGAGGAGGTTAAATGGGCTGGGAAGAGTACCTGTCTTTCTGTTTGCCAGATTATTTTCTGTTTGAATGATTTCCCCCATCTGATTCATCACATAGCAATGCAAATGCGTTTGCATGGGTAAGGAGGATAGAGCAGGAGCAGGAATCAACAGGCAGAGGGGTGGATTTGCTATTTTTGGCACCGGTGCTGACATCTGCCTGCTGAAGTGATTGCCAAACTTTAGCAATTGTCCTTTCCCTTTGCTGTCGAGACTGCGTCCTGCAACATGCAGAACTGTTAGTTAAATACCGGTACTTTAAAAAACTTTTATTGTTCTGTGAAATTCAATTCTAGACAATAAAAGCTACAGAACTAAAACTTTATTTTGTCATATTACAATTTGTGTTCTAGTGTTCCTGTGTTTCTACACTACTGTCAAGATATGGGTTTATTTCCATGGGCACATTAGTAATTATGCCTGTTAAATGTAGGTACAACAGCAAGAGGAGGAGGAGAAACCACTGACTTCATCAAATCCAGTGCTGGAACTTGAACTGGCAGAAGAAAAGTTACCAATGACCCTTTCCAGACAGGAGGTAAAATCTGTCTTCATCAACAGACCACTTAAGTTTACAGCAAATGCATCTGAAATTTCTTGTTAGGGCCGTTTTTTCTAGTGAACTGTATTTTCTGTGGCAGTTTGTATTAAATAATAAGCCTCCATTTTTACAGTGAATAATTAGTGATCTTTGCTCATCAAGGATCTGCTGTCCAGTTGAATGCATAGGGAGATAGAGATGGGTAGAGCTTCTTTGCCATATGGATTTGCACAGTCCTCTATAACATTTTACAGCTCTTTCAGATGACTTCTAAAGTAGTACCCTGATTCTTGGATAATACTGAAGGTGGCGTGCTGACTTTTTGCAAGATTTTTTCCCTCAGCTTCCTTTCTTTGTAGCTCACTGCTCTGAACCCAAATTGAGAAACTTAAGTTTTGGAAGTTCACCTTGACTTCTGGAAGAAAAATTCCTGAAGCCAGAGCAGCTGGTGTGTTCTTTGTCCTTTCTAAGGATAAAAATACCTGTGTGAATGTGAGTTTACAAACAATTCTATACCTCAAAGCAGAAGAGAAGCAAGAAGTTCAGAAGTACAAAATAAATTCTAATTTTGGAAGTACTGACATTTACAGCTGAGATCATCCAGGGATGTCATATGTCCCCTTAATTTTGTAGGATACACTTGCTGTGAAAAACAGTAGAGTATCACAGGACTTCTAATGTGGGATGCTGGTTTTGTGTTTGGTTTGAGGTTTGATCTGTATGTCCTGTGTCATGTCTCCCTGCTGTGGATCTACTTGGGCTCGTGTTTTGGTTGAGGTTTAGGTGTTCCTGTGCCAGCACTCTAGCCATCCCTGGTTTTGTGATACATTTGCGAGTCAAATGCCAACGTATAGCAAGACACTTGAACTGAATAAACGGATGAATGTCTCAGTTGATTTAGTGTCTTCTTGTCCAGCCAGTCTGTTGGTATAATGAAGTGATGGCATGAAATGAAGTGTAAGCCCTTCTCTTGATCACCAAAATATTGCGTGGTGATTTATAGCTCAATAAGCCTATTGCTTGGTACACTAAATGAATAATGGGAAGTATAAAGAGATTTAGAAACGATGCATGAGATAAGGAATCGGGAGAATAAAGTTCAGTTTTTGACTCTGCCCATAACTGCAAATCAGTCAAAGGAGGAGGATATTATACCTCGCTTATATGTAGTTTTAAAATGACTATAACGTTAGATTATGGGACTTAATATTTACCAAAGCTTAAGAATTTCCAGCAAATCAGTCTTGCAGATGTGCTGGGACAACCTGCAGCCTAGTTAGGGAGTATTTTTACTGTACTGGACAGATAGGTGAGAGAGATTATCATCAAGTTCCGTTGTGATTTTTGAAAACAGTTTTTAAGCTTTGCCAGAGGGATGATTTTTGTGTATCTGCTTGAGCAAGTCAGAGCAGGAAGAAGTTAGGCTATACTAAACAGCTTGGGAATTTATGTAAAATTTAGATCAGTGCTGTTTGGAATGACCTTTCACTGAGATACCGTGGGAATTTTATATTTAGATTGTAAAGTGTCTGAAACATTTTTCTACTGCTTAAAATATTGCCATTTCCTCTCCAGTCCAGCTCAGCTTGTTATTCTAAGCAAAGTAAATAAATCCGTCCTGGATTTCATTTTGCTTCCTTCATGAGTTTGTGTAAGGGAATGCTTTGATTCTTTTCAGGTTATCAGGAGGTTACGAGAGAGAGGTGAGCCAATCAGGCTCTTTGGAGAAACAGATTATGACACATTTCAACGTCTGAGGAAGATAGAAATTCTCGCACCTGAAGTGAACAAGGTAAGACTGGCTATCAGTTACTTACTTGTGGTGGGATAACCAGTGACGAGCCCTATAAAAGTGACTGAAGATCAGTTTCAGTAACTGTTAATTTTCAGGAGGGAGGGGCAGTACATAACAGAGGGAAATACTTTCTCTGTCTCATTGCCTGAGAAAGTGTGTTAAATGTCATGGTTCTGTGCACAATTACAATTCCTTGTGTTAGGTTCAATCCTAGAAACCTTCTGGGCCCTTTTCAGTTGAACAAGGGGCCTCCAGGTGTCAGTAATACCCCAGCCTGTGCTGTCACCTGCTTTGTAACCAGCAGAGAAGACAGTCCTTTACTGTTAAAACTAGCCTGTGTTTGTGATTATACTCATCTCTGAGAAGGTAAAGGTATGTGAAAGGAGGACTGCATCCTGTCTTTCTGGTATGTAAATAATTTTTCAAATTCCTTGGTTCCGGAGCTATAACTTGTTACAGAAACTTCATTTTCCCCCCTTCCTTTTAAAGTAACAATTAATTCAGAAAATGAGTAAAATATATATATATTTAACTGATTTATTCATTTTGTCTTAAGAATTGGTCACTTAAGTGTGGAGATGCAATTGGAGTTTGTTTTGCATTCACTGTTAACCAAATCTGCACCCTAGCTAAGAGAGCGATGATTTGGATTTTCGTCCCTAATTCATGACAAACTGAATTATTTGAAATGGCTTTTCTGGGGATGCTCAGAAAAGGAAAGCCTTTGCCTGTTCACGTCTTCTTAAAAAAGATAAACATATCTGAAGGTTTAAAAAACCCCTCTGCTAGTGAAAGCTTTCTCCTTTGGTGACATCAACAGTGGTAGGCGTATTAGCAAATAGTGAGCTCATAAATAGGATTGTGTTGGATTTTTGTTACATGTTTTGGTCACTCCTGTTGCCACACGTTGCTTAAATTGTAGATAGTCGCTTTGACCAGTTTGTGGTTTGGACATTTTTAGACTACTGATTAATAGAAACGGTCCAGACAGTCAAGTCTGATGATGAAAGAAGGGAAATAACTGTGCATATCTATTCCCAGTGGAGTGTCTGAATTTTTCTTAGGGTAAGAAATGTCATAGTCCTTTGTAGAGCTTTGTATTTTATGTCTCAAGATAAGAATGCAAGTCCTGTAGCTGTGTCTAAGCTGAGTTTCTTGTTCTATTTGAAAGCAGCTCTTAACTTTATGGCTTGAAGCGGATTCTGCTTTTTTTTTTAATCACTTATTCTAGAGTAGAGGGTTTTAAACAATCTGTATAAACCTTTCTGCTATGTTTAAATCATTGGCAATAAAGGGAAACTACATAAATATTTTATGTGATAGTACTGAAGGAGTGGTACATACCTTATTTACAGCTTTTTACAGGGCATATGTGAAGACTTGTAGAGCTGATGGGGCTGTGGTCTGTTTTCTCTTTGTTTTGGGGTGGTTCAGTGCGCTGCTTGGAGAAAATATCTTGAAGAAAGTCTTAGAAGTTGATTCAGTCCTCCATGCTTTTCTGGTGAAAACATGATAAAGAGTATTTTCCATAGGTATGAACTTTGCAGAAGTTCATGCACCTGCTTTTTCTTAAGTGCTGAAGCAATCAAGAAACTGTTCTTGGAATTCTGTTTGAATTCAGACAACAAAGCCAAACCCTTATGCATGTTTTTACAGAATTTGGCTTTTCTTAAACGGAAGTTGGATGCTCACAGTGATAGTATTGAACTGCTCTTATTTACTTGAGTTCTTTTGTAAATTAGTAATTTCTTATCTTTTCTAGGGCCTGAGAAATGACCTGAAGGCTGCTTTGGATAAGATTGACCAACAGTATCTGAATGAAATTGTAGGCGGCCAAGAAGCAGGAGACGATGACTCACAGAATGACTTGAAAGTGCACGAGGAGAATACTACTATTGAAGAACTGGAAGTATGTGATGGGTAGATTAAGGGATTTTAGATGTAGTATATTGTTGTGAGAGCTTCAGAATTGTCTAGGCAAAGTTAACTTGTTTTCAACATCTGACTTAGGTATTCTGAAGTATGCTCTCTTAGGAAATTTAGGTTTCTAAGCCTTGAGTTGCCCCATAGGTGTCTACAGTAGACATGAAGATTCAAGAGGTCTTTGTTTACAACGCTTCATCAAAAAGGGGGCAGGAGTTGCCCGTGGAGAAAGTGATACAGTTAGGATTCGCTCTGCAAGGGGTTTGGAAGTAGAGAATTTAATAAAAATACGTTACCTGATCATAAATTCTGAAGCCTTCCAGTGCATATTTGAGAGGATAGTAAGCTTAGTACCGGTGAATTTTCCCTATGCAAGAAAGATGGACTCTGAAAAATAGATGCTCAGAAAGAATGTTTGATATAAAAACCATTCAGGACCAAAAAAGAAGTGGACATCAGAAGTAGGCAGATCACTGGAAATAGAAGAAATGCAGAGACGATGTGTCCCAGACACTTCAGTGCAAATGGCTACTATGTTCTGACAGAATACCATGGTGTTTGTGTAAGTTAGCAGAGAATGAGTGCCATGACATGCATTCAGCACCTGGCATTTTAGGGTGATGTTTTGAAAAAGCACATTAACTTAAAGACTTCTACCCTTAATCTTCATAACTATTTGTAGGAGTTAATATTCATAACATCCCTCCAAAAGAATTAATCTGATTTATAGCTGAAAGTTTAAGTGAATACATCATAATTAGGAGATGATCTTTGGGTTTTTTGGTGTGTTTTTTTTGTTTGTTTTTTGTTTTTTTTTTTTTGTTAGGGTATCAGGGCTTCTGGTTTAAAATAACTGTAGTGCCAGAAGAATGGACATCAGTTGTATTGGGGCTGCATTTTATTGATCTGTTAGTTCTCAAAATACTCCCTCTTTGGGGTAGTAGGGCAGGCTTGGTTTCAGCAATGAAAGCAAACTTATTTTGAAAAGTTTGAAGACACTGCAGTCTTAATTTTATGCTACTAACTACATTCCCTTGAGCATGAAGCTTATGCTGTATTGGCTTCCAAATCTAGGAGATATTTTTAAATAAAACTCAGTTTGGAAATGTGAGGGCGATAGAAATAATTTCTAAGTCCAACTATACCTACTGGAAAATGTTTCTAAAAATTGCTGTTAGTATTAACAGCTTCGAGGTTTTGGCAGGAGGCTGAAGTATTGGAACATACTGCTGGGAGTTTTTTTGTGTTTTTTTGTTGTGTTTGGGTTTTTTTTTAGATTTGTTCCCTCAATTTCAGAGTTAGAATTATATGAAATGGTAAAAGGCCTCAGTATGTCAGAGTTGAAATAAATTAATTGATGGCTTTGGGGATCTCAAAAAATGCAGTGCATCCACAGTTCCCTTTAATACAGTGCTGTGAGACAGCTGCTGATTATGCCAATAGGTTAGTAGTTCATAAATGAAAAATTACTGTTGCATTGACTTTTCAGAAATAATCATACTGACTTTTTGCCTTAAATGTTTTTAATAGATTAATGAATTTTAGTAGCATATATAGCTGTTTCACTCCACTTCCTAACTAGTGTTTTGGATTACTGGTGCAGTTTATTACAGTTCATGATGCAGTGAATCATGTTTTCTGCTGTGCTGGTGGTGGCAGACTTCTAGACAATGTGGAAATAATTGTCTTTTCTTCTTCTGTTCTAGGCTTTGGGAGAATCCTTAGGACGGGGTGATGATCACTATGATATGGACATCATAACAAAGTTCTTGAAGGTAACAGACTGATAGATTGGTTGTTCTGTAGCTGTGTCGTATTACTATCACATTTTGTGAATAGAAGGGATGGTTTCAACTGCTTGGAGAGGAAAAACTCACATGTTATGCTTAAGATGTGGGGTTTTTTTAAATGCTTGGCACTCCACAGCCTTGGTTAGTCACAATAGTGACTTCTAGAGCTGGGCAAGAGCTGTTGGGAGAGGAGTGTTCTTCAAAATCTGGTTGGGCTTTTCCAGACAAAATAAATATGGTTTTGATTACCATATAACAGTTGAGGCAGTTGTATGTAGTTGCTTCTGTGTACAACTGTGGCATAAAAAATTTCTGAGGAGTCTCTGCCTCCCTTCCCCAGGAACAGTGCAAGCTGAAATGGAATATCATCAGGTACTGTTATGTGAAATCAGAGAATTTTAAAGGAAGTCCACTGACTTTGCTAAGGAAACAGGTTCAAGTGGATAGTAGAAAACTGTTTCCTTGTTTCCTGGCAAGAAGCCTGTATTGCCTCTCATTTGAGTCAGCTGGTTCCTGTGAAACTGTTGTGATGATCAGAAGTCACAGCAAGAGCTGAAGCCTTCATTTGTGTATATAAGATAGATTCCCATTTTAATATAGTTTGGGCTGGGCAGTCAGAGAAAGCTCAAAATTGTTTTTCAGGTGGAGAGAAGGTACATTTGACATGTTTTCCTTCTGGTGTGTTGAATTTTTACTGTGATCTTTACCATTCCTTAGGGTCTTTCACAACAATTGCCCTGAAACATCAGCATCTTCTACTTAGGAACACTGTTGTTTCCTTGAGGTTTTCTGTACACACCTTTAGATACATGCTGCCCCCTCGCCTGCATGTTTTTATGATGGGAGGGTTGTTCCTATCTGTCCTTGCCTGTCCTTCTGAACGAGGTGTCGTCTTAACTCAGATTTCTCCAAAAACCTCATTTTGCCTTGGTTGGCTTAAATCACTGCTCCCATATGTTTTGCCGAGGAAGCCACTAGATGGCACTATGACATAAAGTTGCTTGTTCTTGTACAGTTTCTGCTTGGAGTTTGGGCTAAGGAGCTGAATGCCAGAGAAGACTACGTGAAGCGGGGAGTACAAGGGAAGCTGAACAGTGCCACTCAAAAGCAGACAGAATCGTACCTGAGGCCACTCTTCAGAAAACTTCGGAAAAGGGTGAATCACTTTTCAATGTCATTATCCTGTCAGGCTCACTTGAACTTCTGCTTTCAAAGTACCCAGTAGTTAGTGCCCTTTCCTAAGGTAATGCTATTTTCACTGAAGAAGAGAGGATGACTCGGTCAGGGTTTCTGTGTTGAGAGCCTATGATTCCCCGTTTTGACTTTTGTATCTTGACCAGTGGATTTTTCTGCCTCCCTGTTGCTTTTCCAGGTGTTGCTGTATTATCACCTGTTCACTGGGTTGAAAACGTAGAGAGTTGGGATTATGTTTTGCCACTAGCTGCTAGGTGTAACCACTTAATCTCTCTTGCTTCAGAGCCTTCATCTAAATAACAAAGATGTTTTCCGTTGTTAAAGTCCCCAAGCTAGGGTAGGTGCTGAACTTTGAATAAATGCTGAGTAGGATGATTTTCATGAGCTGCTGTTCTGAAGTAAAGATGTCTTTCCCCCCCCCCCCTTCTCTTCTCCTGTAGACACTTCCTGCAGACATCAAAGAATCAATAACGGATATTATTAAATTCATGTTGCAAAGAGAATATGTGAAGGTATGTTTATTTGCACTCTTCTGGCATGTTCAGGCTGTCTGGTTCTAATAGATTGAGTTTATTACTTCAACGTTTCCCATTTTGCATTTTGAAGATACATAGATGGAAGTACACACAACGTATATTCTAACAAAATGAAAAATGGCTGTTAAAGGTTAGGCTCCAGGTACTGTTTGATCTGCAGCTTGTCAGGAGATCTCTTGAGATTGGTGAAACTGCAGAGCTTTGCAAGCACAAAGAGAATTTTTCTAAGAGATGGTTATATTAAGTTGCAGAGGAATCCTGTATGGGAAACCTGATATTATAAGGTTAAACGAAGGTGCTGAATTAATAGTAATAGGATGTTGATTAATTAATTAGGAATTAATTGAGATGAACTGAGTTATTGAATATGAGACACTGTTCTTTTTCTTTGGTATGCTCACATTAGGTGGCCCGGTTAGGTTGAGGTAAGTTAATGAAATTTTTTTTGGACAAAGTCTGCTTACTGGAGGAGGCAGAAGTATTTTGGCACAGAAGATCAAAGGCAGTGTTAGGTTTTGTTTGTAGCTGCTTTCAGAAGCGAAACTCAAATACCGATAGCATTTGCTTAAGCAACTTGTGTATGCAGAGGAAATTGAGCCGTGTTTTCCTTTTAAATTTCTAGTATTTCTTTTTCTTGTGAGGACTTGGGTTAATTTGTCGAGTAAGCAAGCGAACCTGCTTTTGTTATTGAAAAAACTTTAAACAGTCTAAGGCAAGTTTAATCCAAATAATTTGACAGTAGATCTAAAAGTGTGCGATTTATCATAGTGGGGGGTTTTGTTTTGGGGCGTTTTTCTGATTTTGGTCATCATCATTATGCTGAAATTCCCTTTCTGATGCCTTCCTAAACAAAGCAGTGAGTGTGCAGGGCTGTGGTCTGTCTCAGGGGTTAGTCAGCTGTGCTCCTCTCTCCCGGAGGTGCTTGGCTTTATGTAAACTTCATAGACTGATTTGAGGGGGGGGTTGAGTACACGCTTGGAAGTTTTATTTTTTTTAAAAAATTAGGCTCATGAGCCTTGTGCTTTTAAAGATACTCATATCCTTTTCCATTTTGCTTCCTAAGAGACACTTTGCTGTTGTCTTCTGTGCTTTTTTGCTTTGTACAGCCTAGTGAATACCATCAGTCACAAATTCTTACTGCTTTGTTAGATGAAATGGTCAAAAGATTTTAATTTTGGAATGAACATGTGACAGTAGGCAAATGCCAGAATGCAAGTTGTCCACTCAACCTTAATTGACCCTGTTGTGACAGTCCAGGAAGGGTCTTTAATTGCATGTTCACATGCTGTGTTTCATCACAAAACTATATTTGAGTCAGCAAGTAGATATTTGACTAAGACTGTTCAGATTCTGCCTTATGTAGGTGAAGATTAAGTCCGTTCTACCGGTTCACTCAGTTCTGTCTGCGCCCCCTGCCTTGTTCATTATTCACCTCTCAGATTGCTCAGTGCCAGTTGGGAAGAAACTACACCCACTGGTCATGATTGCCACTTCTTATTGTTTAGTCTCTTAAGTGGGAGATGATAAATGAACTGAGTTTATCAGTGAGTCTTGTAGCTGCTCGCTAACAGTGGTGGAATGTCCTGCTCCAAGTCCTCACTGAAGCTGTTTCTCTAATTGCATGTACATGTCTGTTCCCCTCGCTTCCTGGTTCTCAGTTCTCATGGGGTTTTTTTAAGCTCTATACTTCTTTCTGTCTTAATTTCTATTCATTTTCCCTTCAAGTTTTATCCCTCAGGGATGTTGTCTGGTACAGCTTTATGATAAGAAATGGGATCTGCTATCTGGACTGGGAAATTTCAGATTAATTTACTGCTGCTACTGGTCTGTTTGTAAACATTGTTACAAATGTGCTTATTTAACCCAGTTCTTTAGGGAGCTGGTTCTCAGCCTCATTGGAAGCTCACTTCTTCCCCCGATAGCTGTCAGGCCCCAGCACGTTCCTGCATACTGTGTGACCTGCACACATGACGTGGGCCTGCAGTGGAATGTGCTTAAGTCGGTCTCCCTGGTCTAATCTGCAACCAAAACGGCAAGGGTTGTAGAGGGGATTACAGCAGAAAAGCTTACGGGAATGTGAGAAGGCTGAATTGAAAGTAGTCCCAGAAAACTTCAATTTTAATCAATATTAGACTGCCTTATGCAGGGCTTTCTTTCATCACCCTATAGGTAAAGTGCAGAGCACAGGGGGACTGTCACCTCCCTGCTTCTGCTGGTCACACTATTTCTAGTACAAGCCAGAATGCTTGTCCTTGCTTCCCTCAAGGTTCAGCAGAAACAGAAATCATATTAGGAAGGTGTGTTGTAAAATTGGTTAATATTGTGCAATGAAACCTGGTTCAGAGAGACTGGAATATGAGGTGGTTATCTGGCAATGCAAAAATGCTTTGCTTTCTGATGCCCTTTGGGTTTTGCTAATTGTGTGTGCACTGTACTCCTTCAGGCAAACGATGCCTATCTTCAGATGGCTATTGGAAACGCTCCCTGGCCCATCGGTGTCACTATGGTTGGCATCCACGCTCGAACGGGTCGTGAAAAGATTTTCTCCAAGCACGTGGCCCACGTTCTCAATGACGAAACTCAAAGGAAGTATATTCAGGTAAGGTTAATTTTGGAAATTCATCAGATTTGCTTTTGAAGTTAGGGGATCTTTGAGAAATATTGGTTTCACAGTTACCGGTGATGTGATAAAAAGGTCCTGGAAGTGAACAGTTGCCTTAGTTTGGATCAAGCTCATCCTGGACCTGAAGGCTTTTCAGTGCTGGACTAGGAACAATCTAATGGATTTTTCTGCATCTTAACTATTATGGTCTTGTATGAACACCAAAGTAGCTGTGAAGACATGCTTTAATCCTCTGAGTTCCTCCCCTGCTTAACTCATGGTTTTAACAACGTGCATGAAATACAGTCCTGACTATTTCTGCAACTAGATAAATGCATTCATTTTTCAAACATGTTTAATGGTGTGGGCTCAAAATTCCAGGTTTAGTTCCTCCTATGCCTCTTCATACTCATGTTGTGAACTTTTGATTGTGGAATTAGTGGCAGTGGTATTTCTCTTTGACCTTTCAGTGTAGCGGGTGGACAAATCTGAGGAAACAAGTCTTCTCTCCTTGTATTGTTAAATGTATTTGCCTCTACCCAGTTGCAGTTTCATTGAGATAAAGACCTTCTGGCTTAACTCTGAAGCCTCCAGAGCAGCATCGTGGAGCTCAGAGCTTCTGGCAGAGGAGGTTTACATAAATGTCTTCCTGCTGCAGCAGAAGGACTCCCATTGCTTTTCAACCTCTGCAGATGTCTCCAAGCAGATTGCTTGCAAGATGCAACTTCCTATTCTGTACTGAGTCTCTTTATCTCTTTATGTCTCTTTATATTATGTACAAATACAACCTTTGGTTTCTCTTCAACTGTAGTTTTTAATATCATAACCTGAGAAAATATTGTGAAGTTGGAGGGAGCTCCAGACACTTACAGAGCCAACAAATCAAAGGTGAAAACTGGCATGTGGATTATGCATCTTCAGAGCCAGGCTCCAGTTAGTGGAAATATTTAATGGATGAAATAGCTTATGTTAAACTAAATTTTTTTGTTAGTCTATGTTAAAAAAGTGATTTGGACTCTGAAGGAAGATTGGTGTGGGCCTCAGCATGGCCATAATGCTGTTTCTCCAATTTTGGTGAATAATTAGCCAATGTGTCCAGTTGCCACTCTTCTAGCAGAAAGATCTCTACTCTGTAGTGTTGCTTGCTCTCTTAACATACCTTGTGGAAGATGCAATGTATATCAGGGGTTCTCAACCTTTCCTTCACAACAGACCCCCTTTAAATACCTTTTGTGGCTGTGGACTACCAAGACTTAATTCAGGATTTAAAGCACTAGACTGCATCAAATACTTATTTCAATTTTCTCATGAAGGGTCTTCAAATTCAAAGAGAAGGGGAAATAAGTTAATCTGTGAATGCACACACTCCCTATTATACTATCTTTACAGTAATGATTCCATATGAATTTAATATCAACACTCTTCTTGCTCAGATGGCCCATTTTATGGTAATTTGACATCCTAATTCTGAATTTGCTGCCAATTTTTACATTAAAATTGATGACAAGTTTTTACAATTCTCTCACCTTCCCCCTTGTTTGTCTGTGTTCAGTCACCATATATTTTTGTTTACGGGTCCAGGGCCACCACTTGGAGGAACAGACGTCAGCCCCATTGTGTCCTTAAAGAGGGTCATTGGGTTAAGAAAGTGTCTTTAGCAGAAAAACTGCCTAGTTAAAGTGAATCCCACCAACTATACTAGCACCAAATACACGAGTGTGTCAGGGCAGGCAGGGGGAGGTGGAGGCGGGGCTTGAGTATGAGAGGAGCATCGAGTGGAGGGGGCTGTGGGAAAAGGAGACACGGTGCTTGCCGTGGGACAGACTAAATGTTTCTGGGCTGGACATTCCCAACCCCTGTTTAAGCCTTTGAGGAGCCCCTGTGATGACATTGTGGCCCCACAGGGGTTCCCAACCACGGGTTGAGAGCCTCTGCTGTATATGAGTTCTGTGGTTTGTCCCTTCTCTGCTTCTGAGTCTACATCTGGTCAAGGAAATCTTCATGTTCATCTTCCCACTGTGAATTTCGTATCTGTGCTTCTGAATTACACACCTTACTGAAGTGCCAAGACAAATTTGGCTTTAAACATGTACGTTCTCTGTGCTGGTTGTAAATATCAGGTCTTAGCTAGTCTGATTCAGACTGGAGCACAGAATATTGTCTGTGCTTCAGCAGTTACATCAAGCTAACATGTTTCTGATTTACAGTGAACCTGGGATCATAACATCCCAAACAAGGAGTCATTATGGTGCTAGGACATATTTTCCTGCCCTGGCCTTCATTGAAAAGGCCAAAGCATCATCTGTTGAATCGTTTTTCCCTTCTTCCCCTTCCCTTCTTCCCTGCCTTCCATGATGAGTATCTAATGACAGGCACAGGACTGCCATCTTAGACTACAATGTCACTTCTAAATTCTGCTACCACCACAGCAGTTTGCTTTCTTTTTTAGACTTTTATGCATGATGTGAAAGAAAATTATCACAGGATTTCAGCAATTGATGTCTTGAACTGAAAAGTTGACATTCTGCCTTTCTTCTTGATTATTTCAGTTTGCCTCCATGGTGTAGGTCAGGTGTGGTGCCACCATGGGGAGGAATGGCATCTCTCTTCCAGGAAAATTGTTCAGTTCTTGTAGCTGTGCAGCTTGCTTTGGTGTCAGAAATTTCTTTTTGTTCCATAAAATGGCTTTTAATACTCAGTTTTCTTTTAAATATCTTTTCTTGTGGTAGTATTGTTTTCTCCTGCGATGGTGAAGAGGGATTAAAGCATTACTGTGATCCTTCGCTATGAATCTGTCATGGGGGACTGAATCTGTGGTCACTTTGGTTATGACACAGACTCCTCTAATATTGGAGATAACTCATCACTTCGCAGCACAAAGGTTCATAAAACTTAAAAACTGGAAAACTAACCAAATTAAAGAAAAACCAACTCAAAATAGCATCCGTTTGTCTTGAATTCTTCTTGTGAAGCTTAAAAATACTGCAGACTGTTAAGTTTGTTTGACGGCTGCAGTTTTATTACAGAATTGTCCTTGTTTTGTTAATTCCTAGGGGCTGAAGAGGCTCATGACCATTTGCCAGAAGCACTTCCCAACAGACCCGTCGAAATGCGTGGAGTACAACGCTTTATGAGGCTCTGCAGTGTCCAAGGTGTGACTCATATTTTGATCTTCAACACCCAGAGAGGATTGAAGAGACAGAGTTTGTGCTTAAACGCCAACAGGAACCTAGGGTGGGCTGTGCGAAAAAGCATAAAGCAGTAGATTTTCTACAGCTTTCTTTTTACAAGCCACATTTATTTAGATTTCTTTTTAAATCTATGCTTTATGCTGAGCACATACAATATACAACAGAGGGGTTTTTATTTTAAGGGATTATGACCAGGGGACAGTGAACATGATCCTTGCTTTTATTTCAGTTTGTTATTCAGGCAAGCATACAGACTGAACTGTTTCCCATATCTTAAAATTTTAGGTGAGACTCAGCCCTGCAAGGAGTACACGTGGAACTTTTTTGGCTGCTTTCCCATTGGAGACCGATGTGGGGAGATGATTAGAGGGAAGCAGTTGAATGTGAATCTTGTTTTTTTTCTGTAAATATAAAGACTTTATTGGCTAATCTTTCATGTGGTATTTATCAGGAGAGGAAAAATAAAAAAGTGTATATATGTTTCAGCTGAAAAGTACAGCTAGCTTTAGTGCAAAGAGTTTTTGATCTTGAATGCATCTGATTTGGCTTTTGTGGGTGTTTTTTGGTAACAACATTTTTAATATAAGCCTTTGGGGCTTGGGGGAAGTAATCTTATGGCTCTTGAGGCTTTCAAATCCCATTTTTATACATCTGGAGAAAATTTCAGTCTGCTGGGCATTGCAGAGAAAATAATTAGGACCTCCCATGACCACGAACAGTATTTCTAGCAGCCATAAATCTTTACCATTGTGTGTCTTGACTGGGAATGGTGAGGGAATGCACAGAAACGGTGATGTGTAATTCTGCTTAAACAGTGAAATGTTGAAACTTTCTTAATGGTGCAGATTCAAAGTCTTAGGCTGAAATATTGTGCTGCTTTTTTAATTACAAGAACAGCAGTACCTCTGCAACAGTATTAAACAGCTACTTCTCTTAAGGAGACCTTTCTAGGACCTATGGTGAAGCTTGAAACAAATCACTGACTGTTGCAGTGGCTGCTAGTAACTGCCTCTGCCCACATCTGTGAGAATCCAGACCTCGCATCTGTCTGGCCCCACAGATCCATTAGAGCCGATACAGCGCCCCCTCCTCTGCCTCTGGAGAAGCTTTTTCTGTGCGGTCAGTGGAGAGGGGAGGGTCTGGTCCTGGCTGCTGGGGGTTGGACTCGGGCAGGTATTTGAATCTGGTATCCTGTGGTGCCCCTGTGAGGCAGCAGGTCTTGTGGTACCTCTGGTGCTTGTGGGCATCCTGGACTTGTAACCTTCGAGCTGCGGCCGTGGTAGGCCTGGTACGGTGTGAGCAGAGCCACTTCCTGAAGAAATGGGTCAGTATTTCAGTGTATTGGTTTGTCCAAGTCCTCACCTCGACTGGAAGCGTGGGGCAGGAACTGGTGCCCTCGTCTGAAGGAGTTGCCTGTCTCCCGTGGGTATTCAGTGTCCCGTGGCACAGTGAGACATGCTGGGGGGGATTTGTGCTGGCAGTGAGTTTGGAGGAGTGTCCTCAGGAACTTCAGGTTCTTATAGAGACTCCAGATTCTGAAGTGCCTCTTGGGACACAGGAGTTTTTCAGTCTGGAGTGTCTGACCCCGGAAAATGTCAAGAGCTTAAACAGTTTAGAAGTAATAAAAATGAGGCTGATGAGACCAAAGCAGTGCTTAGGGAGGGGCCTTTGGGGAATAGATGGGGATTTGCAGGGAGAAGCTGGGCAGATGTCAAGAGCACGGAAGAGTTTCATTAACAGTGGTGTCTGCTGATTTTTTTTGCAGTGCTTTATAGAGATATTCTTTGGAACTGTTAGTACAACAGGAAACATAACACCGCAATTTTATCCCTCTCCCCACCTAGATGATTTCCTGAGCTGTTTCTAAATCTTAGTCCTGACCCTGGTTTTGAACTCTTAAATAATTGAGGGACAATATTGTCCCTCGTTCAGAAGAGCTATAATTTCCCTGGAAAGCGATGCAAGTGAGTAGCCAGGGAAATGGCTTCAGGAACATTGTAACGTCTGCTTTAGGGGGAGTTGGAGTCTTCAGGGCATCTGTAATAGTATTAGATAGATTTTTTTTTTTTTTCCCTCCTGCTTTAGAGCTAATTATTGAGGCGAGTTTAATGGTACCCTGAGTACTGGTTTGAGTGGGGATGCGCTTCCTGTAAGGATGTGAATTTGAGGTTGGAATGTTTTAGTCTGATCAGGTTTTAAAGAATGTAATTTAAGCAATGTGCCTCCTTGCTGACAGTCCCTGAAATACAGCTGCCTTGCCTGAATGAATCCCATGACGGAAGAACTTTATCCCCTTGCAATTCGTGGAATGGCGCTGCACGGGGAGCTGAGGAACTGAGCAGCACTTTCTCACGGCATATCTGTGTAAGAGCTTCCAGCTGTCCGGCACGTCAGAGCCGGCTTTGGTCCTCGGGGGGATCGTGAGGTGGGGGGACACTGTTACGGCAGCTGCTTCTCATCAGAGGTTTGAGGCTCTTTGCAGCTGGATGTCCCCAAATTACAGCTACCAGACCATGATCAAATAGTTAATAATGCTTTTTAGCCAAAAAAAAAAAAAATCCAAAACCCACCCGAGTCCAGTTTAGGTACGAGTGGGTGTGGTGCAGCTGTCATGCTGCTTGACAGTTTTTGTGGGGAGGGTATGTTTCAGTTTAGTGATTTAGACTTTTCCCTCTGGGCTTCTCCAGATGTCTATTTCTGATAATTCTTGCGTTAGGCAGAAATAACTCCACGGAATCCAAAGACTTGTAGCCTTAGGATGAAGTCATGTGTTCACTGTAGTAATGTCTGGAGTGTTTTTTGGACTTCGGTTTCCCTGGTCGTTTGTTGCAGCCCCTGACCCCTTCCCTGGCCTGGCGGTGGAAGGGGCTGTGTGAGGTGGTCCTCTCAGAGCCTGTGATACCTGTTTTGTGTTGGTGTTATCATGCCCAAAGGTACTTAAATGCGTTTAATTTCTTGCTATTTGTCTATACTGCTGGAAAGGCTCTTGGGGTAGATGTATGTGGGGTCAGTTTATTTTGATGGAGGAGCTGCGTTCCTCTCCTGCTCGCTGCCATAGAATTCTCTTCTTACAGATCCAGCCTTGCCCAAAGAATGACCCTGGTAGACATGTAAATGGCTTCACTTCTCGGGCAGGGGAGTGCCCTGGCTCCTGAACCTGGGGAGTGAGGGCCCGGTGCCCTCTAAGAGGGCTGGCGCAAGGGTGTCGGTGCTGGTATCAGGTCTGGAGCAGGCTGTCATGAAAACTGCTCCTGATGTGTTGTAGGGCTTGAGGAGGTGCCTGGGGCAGTGTCAGAGCCCCCGGTGATATATCTGAGCCCAAGTCTGAGAGTTTGGGGGATATCTGACCAATTTAATTGTTGTTTTGTCCCATCGCAAAGCCTTTTGGGGATTTCTTACACCAGGCTGTCCCCCAGGCAGTGATGCTGGTGGCCTCCTGGCTCGGGGGTGGCATCACAGGCGGCTCCCCAGGGTGCGGGAGGGACCGGGTGGATGATACAAGAGATGCTGGGGTGGAAAGAGCTCCCCGGACAGTGGCAACAAACGGAAAGGACAGGAAGCCAGTACGCTGGGCACCGAGAAGTGCGGGCAGGTCCCAGGTGTAGAGCGTGTGGCTGCTCGAAACTGCCGCCACTGTGGAGTGGGCACTGGGCGGCTGCAGGGGTCACCCCTGCCCACGGAGGGGAGACGGCGATGCTCGGTGGCATCCGTAAACCCTGCGGGGCCGGGCTGCCAGCACCTGGTGGCTCCTTGGTGTCCAATTCGTGTAAGCTAATTGTAGTTACTTCAAGGTTGTTGGTTAGAGGTAAATACTGTTTTCATGACTGTTTCCTGCCGTAGTGGGATGTCACCCATGCTGTCTCTCCCTGCCCGGTGCTGGAGCGAGCCGGGATCTTTGAAGGACAGGGCTTTTGGGGGGGAATGCTCTGTGTTTCCTGTGGTTGGGTCCCCTGACGGCGTCAGCGTGGCTCCCTCCCTCCTGGCACCCCTGGCCAGCTGTGCGCACATCTGGACCCAGCACCTTGCCACAGTAATGACGCCCCAGGCCCTGCGCCCTCCTGGAAGCACCACTGCGAGGTTTCATTTTGAAAATGCTTTAATAAGGAAGTGTTGACAACACCGTTTTGCAAAATGTAAAGGTAACTATACAAATTCTTAATACAAAAAGAATAAATTAAAAGCAGATCTTTTTTAATTCTGCAACTTTTTCTACAACATACATATTTTTTCCTTGATTACAGTTGAACAGAATCCAGTAAAATCATCTTCCATGCTCTAAAGTCAATTTCAGGAGAGACCTAATTTTTTTCTTCCTTTTTTTTTTTTTCTTTTTTTAAACTAGAGAGTCCATTTTACACAACTTGTAATAAAACTATTGACATTAATATATATGTAAAACTTTACATCTAGTTAACTAAGCAGTAACTGGTCATCTGATAGCACCTGAATGGGGATCGGCTATGCCTGAAACTAAAACTAATACAGAGTGAAAACAAATTGGACTGTTTCAACATTTTCAACACTCAACTGCATATAATATCATTTAAAAATAAACCCTGCCTCCCAGCACAGCCCGGTGCATGGACCGTACACCTGGCTCCTGGCTAAACAGAGGGAGCGTCAGACATGTAGACTAAGAACGCAATTGTGGCTTTATGTCAGATGGAGCCTTGAAAAATAAAAAAGTAAAGGAGGGGTTAAGTTGGTAGTCAAGTGCTTGTATATAATAGCTATGTATATACCCCTCCGCGTTATACTTAAATATGTTAATCTCATATGATTAACATTTTATGTACATTTGTGTTTAATTGAATTGAGCTAAACAGTAAAACCTGTTTTACTTAATCTGTCTTTACTACCAGACTGGCTGCTCACGTGTGCCTTGATTGCAAAACAGAAAAGCAGAACACAAAGCAAAACTCAATCCATTTCTAGAAAGCTTTTTCTCTACTCCAGCCTGTTTGCAATTCAGGCTAACCATTTATTTTTAAAAATTATTTTCTTTTTTCCTAATTTCAGGGCTGCCACCTTTTAACCTTTGCTGCAAAACTGCAGATCTGGTCTTGGAGGAATTAATGTTTCTTCCTGTAGTGCCCAGAGGCCTCATAGTGCCGCTGTTGTTGAATTCTTTTTAATTAAAAGAAGGTACACGGGAAAAAAAACCAACCCAAAACCACTTACCAGGGAAATTAAAAAGAAAACAGACAGTTGCTCAGAGCCCCTAAAAATCCGTGGGCTAAATTACTTGCTGCTGCTTAATTTGAACCTTATTTAATCCTTTCACTTTAGCTACTGAATCTTATCAGTAAGTGTCACTAATCAGTGCTATCTCTTATCCAGCTAAAAATCCAATTAGGAGCTTGAAATAATTCCCATGTTAAAGACCCCAAAGCACAAAGAGATGGTGAGAACCACATTGTGCACATCCAGATCAAGGGTGCAGTCTCACTGCTGTCTGTCCTTCCAGCACTCTGTGACGAGGCTCCGGTGACTGCCGCAGGGGGTTGTACTCCTGCCGTGATCCTTGGTGGAGGGCGTTTAAAACCCCCTCCCCAGTGTAAAAAAAAGTATGCTGCTTTTTTTTTTTTTTTCCCCTCTTCCCAGAGGGATAATTCATTTATGCTTCACGTGTGAACACAGCAGGCAGGCGCAGAGAACCGGAGCGAACACCAGTATGTGCTGCAAAAAGGTATTTGCAGGAGGCGCTTGCATTAATTTTTAGAAACCCCATCATCTTTCCAAGCCGAATTATGCAGAACCCATTCTCTTTTAAAGCCTGGAATGCAGTTTTCCAGCAATCTTAATACCAAAAGGTGTGGCAGCCCCCCAAGTTGCGGTGTTTAATTTTAAACGTTTCGCCCTACTTTGTCTGGTAGACGCTATTGTTATTCCTGGAACACACACACACACGCACGCACACTCGCACTTTTTTCCTTTTTTTTTTTTTTTTTTCTTAAACTAAAGCTAACTTCAGTTTCTGCTTTTCACAAAGTAACCCCCTCCAGCCGTTTCTTTTAATGCCTTTCCCATAGGAAATCATCATTTGCACGCACAAACGGGGGAAGGCCGAGTACCTCCCCCCATCTAGTGGCAATAAAAACAGCATAGCACCGCAATGAAGACTAGATGTGCCAGCTTCAACATCCACCTAGATTGTGCACTTGTTCGTTACAAAAGTGTCTTTGAGGCCTTTTAAAGTTCCATGGCTTGACATGTATAAAGCATTGCTCAAAGGTATGTGTAAACTTGCAGCTCCTTCCATGACACTCTCGTATGATTACTTTTGGTATCAGCAGGCAGCTCTCACTTGTGTTAAACACCTGCTTCAGTTGCTTCTCCTTCTTGTGGTCGTTTCTTGCAATGGGAAAACTTGCCTCATCTGCTGGTTGTTCAACCCCGCTGTGGAGCCTTCCTGTTTCCTGACAGACTGGTTCTCCCACACAGCTTACGCCGGTGACAAGCCCTTTGCTACACTGGTGCTAACGAAGGGAAGATGAGTGGAACAGATATGTTAAAGCAGCTTCACCTTGTCAATTAGATTGCGATGTGCTTTCCCTTTGATTTCACCTTAATGCTTTGTGCAGAAATTGATTAGAATTTATTGGCTCTGTTTGTAGAAAGGTTTTTTGGCGATTTTTATCTTCATCAGAGTATTAAAAAACAACCAACACAACCCCAACCTCTCTATGTATTGGTGTGCAACCTCTGCCAGCCACAGAGATGCTGTGAGTAGCAGTACTTGCCTCTGCTTTAGATAATGCCTTTGGAAACCTTGTTTGTCCAGTTTAACAGTAGCTTGTAGACAGCGATGCTGTGATACCAGCCCAGACCTCCAGTGTCTTCAGCACATTGGGTTATTTTACTTGGGTGTAGGTGGGCTCAAAGCAAAGAAGGAAATACTGTTTTACAGGAGGTGGTCGTGTCTGCCATTGAGTTAAATGAGAGAGATGTTTTGTAGCTAGAACTTGCTGAGCAAACTCATCCTGACGACATTGGTGTGGTGATCTTTGGCGGCGCAGATCTGATGGTGAGGTTCTGACACATCTTTGAAGTGATGGGATTTTAGTGTTTCATAACAAATGCACTTTCAGGATTATTTCTCAGCCTCTGTCCCGTTTTTACCCCCCTTCCCTCCCCACTTTAAACCAATTCTCTGTTGGCTTCAGATCGCAGGTCATGGAAATCTTACTGCTGTTACTTGCCGCACAGCAGTAAGATTTGCTGTAAGCCTTGAAGGGCTTCCATCGTTTCAAAGGAAAATCGATTTCGAAATTGCTGGCTGACTGTTAAGGTGGCTGCTCATCTGCACCCGCTGCCCCGTGGGAGGGGCACACACCTGTCTGGCAGTGGGATGTGCCGCGGCCGTCGTGGTGGATGTCTCGGGGCCAGTGTTCTGTAAATGTTGTCTTGAATTGCATCGTGAGAAAAGTGCTTAGAGTTGAAGCTGGTGCTGGGTGACAGTGCATCTGGGTAAGGCAAATGAGAGGCAGTGAGGTGATCTCAGAATGGCATTGATGTGATTCACTTGAGGTCAGGGGTTCACACTAGAGTCCCAGGCTTGGCTTTTTCCTGCCCATACCACTGGACATCTGCTAATTCTGGATAGAGGGGAGAATCCAGGAAACAGCTATCGTTGTAGCTCCTGCAGGAGAAAGGAAACTTTGTTAGGACAAGGAAGGGCTCCTGCAAAGTTTAACCACGGGCATAAAACATCGTATTACAGGTGGGAAGAAACACAGGATATTCACAGACCCCACTGCATTCTGCAGGTGACCCCGGAGCTGACGCTTGGGGTGAGCTCAGCATGCAGGACCCTGCTTTGACCCAGTTTTCTCTTGCCTGGCAGCCCTGTTCATCCAGCAACCCACCTGCTGCGAGGCAGCAGGAGGACGCCAAGCTGCAGCAGCCTCTCAGTGGCCAGTGTGCCCCGTGTTCTGGATGCCGGGACGGCAGCGGGCCGAGCTGCTGTGCTTTCAGTGAGCAGGGTGGCTGCCGGAGGGAGAGAGCTCGTGGCCGACCCCGCCGGCGGTGTCTGTCCCACCACACGTGGTACCACACCTGCCTCTGCTCCCTCTTCCCTCCCCTCACAGCAGCAGCCTCTGCCTTGCCTCAGGGGCTGTCTTGCTTTCCTGTCCAGCAGGAAGCCGGGGTAAACAGATTTTTCAGTGGGATGCTCTCCAGGGAGCAAGTCCTAAGAGCAGCCCTCTTGGCTGTAGACTGTATTACCCGGGGGTCCAGGGAAGGAGAAGGGTGGTGGTGCTTTTCCTGTAGCACTTCTGCTCTGGGCAGAGGTTTGTGCATCACTTGGCAATCCCAGAGTTACGGGGCTTTCCAGGGATCAGCTAGGAAGCAACTCGTGAGAAGGTAACAGGTCCAATGCAGAAAGGACCATGTTTTGTTGTAGTCCTAGTCCTCATCTTGGGGCTCCCCTCCTGACAATCTACTGCTGCTTTTGCTGCATGGCTTTCTGTTTACCTGTACTGAGCAGATGAAACAGCTTATGAGAATTTTCTTGGCTATTTATCTTGGAGCTCTGATCAGGGTCAGCTCCTGGCTTAGAATGCAGAGCTCCTTGCCAGGGAAAAACACGAGGTCAAAATCTTGATATTCTGAAAAGTGACTGCTATATCTGCATAGTACTGTTCGGGATTGATGTCTCTCCCTCACACTTTTATTTGAACCAACTTCCAAACTAGAGATTGTTTTCAGGCCTGAAGTGGGAGATGCATTTTTTTTCCTGTTTACTGTGGGATTCTCACTCCTTCCTTGGCTCCCTCCCCGCCCTGCAGGACTGATCTCACATCTGATGCAGTCTGGCAGTTCCTGCTTCCTCTGCTCTGTTTTCCACCTGTTTTCCCTGAGACCGGTGTCTGGGAGGAACATGAGCAAGGGCATCACTGTCTGCATGTTAAAGAGCCTTTTGTTTCCCAGCTCTGTGCTGGAGTACTGAGGTTTATGGGATATCTCTAGAAAGCTGGGCTTGAAATACTTGACAGATGCCAGCTGTGAATGGTCGTAGATTCAAATGAGAGCGTCAGACAGCGATGGCAGTTTAATTAAAACAGAAATACTCCAAGGGTTTTTTTTTGTTCCCTCCACCCTTCCCCCTCTGTCTTCCCACAGGAACGGGGCCAGGGTTGCTCCTCGTTCCAGGAAGCCTTGCTGCTGACAGCCTCTGCTTCACAGCTCTGCTCTGTGGTAGGGAAGGAGGAAGGGGTGCTCCGTGCTGTGGCTGGAGCGCTGCTAGGACCTCACTCCAGGTCTGCCGAGGCCCCCGGTTACTCCAGCTCATCTCCCCACCATGCTGCTCCTGCTCTCCCCACAGCACTTTGCCCACGCTTGCTTTGAAATGTTCCCAGCCACACATCTGTCGCTACCGCCTGCTCTGTGCCCGTTCAACCTCTGCACGAACGCGGGGCCAAAGTCCTCTGTCACGGGGGAAAGCACCGCAAACTTGCTGAAAAGGCACAGAGAGGGCTTCGAGATGCTTTCAAGTTGTGCTTCTGAGAGCTCAAGGAAGCCTTGTTGCCAAAAAAACAGGCACACAGTTAAAAGGGCTGCTCCTCTGGGACAGCAGGATGCCGGTTATTCGCACTGTGTTCACGGACTACATGGCAGAAGGATGAAAGAACAAAACGTTCCCTTACTATACCTCTATTCATCAGTACTTTGGTGGGTTGGAGACTGAGACTCATCCATAGTGGGTGAGTTGTCTGTTGCTTCTCTGAACAAAGGAGAGCAAAAAAGGAGGAGAGAGGAGAGAGGAAATGTTAAAGAAAAGAAGTGACACAGACATTGTTATGAGCTTATTAATTCAGTGGGGAAACAAGTTGATGAATCATCTTTAGAAAAAGTTAGTGACACAAAAACATGTTGGCAAGAACTGTCAATCTAGTGAGTCGTGCTGGGAGGGCACAGCCTGCTCCTGCAGTGGGGGAGTTTTGTTGTGCATCTAATGGCACTTTATCTGCTCCTACTGTATTTATACATAAGCCTTGGGTGTTATGCTCAGACATGAAGTAAGTGCTGCCTTGTCTCAGTTTTTTTGCACTGGTTGTTGGTGCAGGGCCTAAACTGTAAATCTAGGTAACTTCACCTTTACCAGCTGAGAATTGGGCTTGATGCATTTTTGCTGTGAGAGACAGGGTGCAAGAGTTTTCTTGAATGGAAAAATGAGAAAAGTTGGAATTTTCCAAACAGATTTCTCTACTGGCTGCTCACCAGTTTTACTTCTGATCATCATGGAGAGAGATTTATAGGAATTAGGAGTGGAATGGAGGCTAAGATTTGAGTCTAGACTCAAACCCTTAACAGTGGAAATTTCAGTGTGCAGTAAAGATAGCTGCCATTTTGCCTTTTTGTGAAAGGGGACCAGGAAAATTCTGTTCTAAAGCTCGAAGCACATGCAAAGACCATGTGAGGCCCAACATTAAATATGTGAATTTAAAATCCAAGGTAGGCCTAAGGGGGTTGTGGTGATGGTTCCTCCTCATCTACATTTTAAAGTGCAGTCACGAGCAGTGCTGGAATAAAAACAGAGGTCAAACTTGGTCATAGGTGACGAGAAGAAATTAAAGAGCATGAAATTTTCCAGTGGCTGCACAGTGTATGTGCATTTTTTGCAAAGTTACCAGTCCCAATTCACAACTCAGGGGATCATAGCTGTTTTCCTGCTCTAAAGCCAACAGTATGTTGAGAACTGTAGACTGAAACTTTATAGCTGATCTCACCAAACTCAATTTAGATGCAAAAATCTGTGATGTGCTGAGTTAGACAGGATCTGGAAGTGATCTTTATTTCATGTGGCAGGACAGAATTACAGGAGATTGCTAGAGAATACCCATAGGAACTTGCAAAAGGCTTTTTGCTTAATCCTGGAACTGCCTGCCTCACAAAGAGGTGCAAAAGAGCCCTATCACTTTATTTACATGAGTAATGGCTATCTGCACGTAATGACTCCCTCATACTTTGGTGAAGCATGTTAAGTTAGTGAAAAAAGATGCACTTAATAGTCATTAAGACCCATTGCTAGGGAAAACCTAGCAGAAAAATGTGGTTGCTGTGCACACAAATTATGGTAGGCACCTAACCTTGTTTACAACAAAGATCTCCATGGTTTGGACAGCCAGCGTGATGGTTACTGAAAAAAAAATAAAAATCAGCCATTTTGATGTATGGAAAATTGGAGGAAGGAGACTGTCCAGGCAGGAAGAACTGCAAGGCACTGCCTGGAGCTGTGCTGCTGGGTGCGGATGGCGCAGCCGGGTCTGTCAGCTCACCGCAACGAGAGCATGGGCGGGAGGCTGGAAAGGCTCTGGTGGGTGTAGGCTACAGAGCACCTGGAAAATGTTCCCATGTTTGTGTGCAGGGATGTTTTCCTCACTGGCACTGAACAAGGTGAATTCTCTAACCCAATCCCACAGCCACTCACCCAGTCTGCCATGCGAGAATGTGGTGGGGGCTGCCCGGCGGCGTGGCTGCTAGTTCACTTGATGGTGTTGAACTCCTCTGGCTGTGAGGTAAGGCAGCTGAAAAACAACCAAAGGGTGGACAAAAATAACTGGTGAGGTTAGGATGCACGGGTCAGGGTGGTTCAGAAGCATCAGCTGGTCAGACCAGCAGAAACCTATCCGGCTGTGAGTAAACACAGCCTGGGAGTTGGCCCTCATCCTCTTCCTGGATGGCTGTGCCCGAACGTGGCACAGGAGCAGCCGACGTACTGCTGATGCTGCTGCGTGTCATGGGCTGGATCCATCCTCAGCTCTGCAGGAATGCTTTGTTTCAGCCCGGTCTCCAGCAAAATACAGCCATCCCAGCTCTCCTGAGCCTGCCCAGGAAACACAGCACCTCTCCCATCACAAAAGGTGATTGGTTTTGGTGCTGCCTGGACAGGCAGGGCCTGGCTGCACACCTCCATGGGAGCTGAGCTGGAGGAGCCAGGCTCAGCCTCCTGCTTCCAGGGGCAGTGGGGGAGGCTCTGTGTCCCTGGGAGCCAGGGCTGGCACTGGTGAGAGGCTGGACAAGTACCCTGCTTCATGTGCAAAGGAGGAAGAAAGCTCTGAAGATTTCAAAAGTTACATCTACCTTTCTCTGTGCATCTGTAATAAATTGAAGCTGGGCTTTGCTGACCCTACTATTACAGGACTAGGGGAAGGCTTATCTTACTTCAATGAAGGTAGAAGCAAGCTGAACTAAAAATGTACCACTGGCAGTGGTTCTCACAGGAGTCTCCCCAGTGAGAGTCTAGCTAAGCAATCCACCTGACTGATCTTTCCTCCTACTCAAGTCCAGACAGTGCTGACCCTTCAAATTTAATACATGCCTAGAAGTATGATTCTCTTCAAAGGACAGTGTGAAGTCCAACAGACCTATCAGCTGGGGCTAATCAGCTAAAATGATGGATATTTCTACCTGACATCCCCTTCTGTGCTGCTAAATTCTTTAGCTGGTGCCAAAATGACACTTGAAGAGAAAAACAAATTTTAATCTACTCCTTGGAGTCGACAGCCCCCGAGGTCCGTATTCTCCCACAGCTGTAACTAGGAGCTGACTCTGAACGCAAACCCAATCTGTGCTGCCAGCTGGTCATGACAAGCTCTGATTACTGAGCACACTTGCCACTGCTGCCCAGATATCACATTTAGATTAAAGATCCAGGTGGATGGGGGAACGGACTGATTGACAGAGGGTTTCCCAGGCACTTTCTGTTGCGGGTGGAACAGAAATGCCCATCAGTCAAAGGAGGAAAACAGATTTGCATATGGAGACAGAGGATAGTTCCAGCAGGTACTCAACTGTGTCTTGGTCCACAGGTGGGCCTCCTAAAAGCACTGGCATTGCACATAAATCAGCCTCTTCTTGGGCAGCTGTTGTGTCCCACAAGGAGCCTGGTGTCAAACCTCCTGACTCCCTGCTGGAGTGGGCAGTGAGTACAGAGCCCCACTGCTGTCTGTGTGGTGGGCACCACGGACCAGGCACCATGCTGGGATGGCAGAAGGCCAAAAGCCAGCACAGGTGGACGATGCACTGGTCTGCTCTGGGAGGATGTGAGGGCCTGTGGCAAGCCAGGCTGGAGTAATGGTGTCTCCCATGCCAAGGCTGAGGCATGTGGGAGGCTAGGGATGGGCACAGTGCAAACTCTGATTAACCAGCAATCCTGTCCATGTGGGGCTGGATTCAGATTTTTAGCAAGTCCTTTATCTATACAAACTGGCTTGTTCAGCAGTGACTGATGACCAGTAAATGTTTAACCTTGGACTGTTTCATAAGACACAGTGGCCTCCTCAGTTTAATGAATTTGACTGTTTTCTTACCATTTAATATTAACAGCACAGAGGATTGCAAAGCTCTGTACGTTACAGAGAGGCATAATACTGTTGCAACTTAAGTGCTCTGAATTTCAGGATATTATCAGCAGAGCTACTGGAGGTGCATGGGAAAACCAAGTCTCAGCAGTGTATAAAGATGTCATCGCTCAAACATTCTTGTGTGGGGGGTGAAGGGGCTGGGATGCTCTGTACTTAACCTTTCTCATGCTTTTGGTGTTTCACTGACATGCATTCTCCTAGTCTGTTCTTGCTTCATCGCTCCCCTCACTGTGATTACTAAGAGTGACACCCCCCTGCCATGGTTTCTCCACGTTCAGCCCCTAGTGCCATTACTCAAAACACAACTGCAGTCTAAGTAAAGACCTGGCAACAACAGGGCTTCAGTTCCTCCCTGTGTTTTGAGCCCATCAGTGTGAAGTGAAAATTTCCATGGAAAAAATTCTCACCCCATGAGTGTCTCGGACGAGGCTTGCCCCGCAGTGTCACGCCTCCAGGCTTGGAGAGCAGTATGGGAAGGCCAGATAACGTGCTTTGGTCTGGCGTTGCTCTCCAACCGGGTGTAACACCTGGCATAAATCCGAGTGTGTGAAGCCCCCGTCCCTCCCACCCCTTTGCCTGGGCCCAGCTCTCACCTGATGTTGCTTTACACATCTGAGGCATTCTTGTGACCCGGCTGTGTGCCACAAAGGTGCTTTGCGAAGATGTGCTGTACTGGGAGCTGCTGTCCGAGGAGGTGGAGCTCGTGTGCGAAAGGCGGCTGTGCTCCTTGTGGGAGGCCGTGGACCGCTGGTACCAGAGCCGCAGCTCGTCCGACACGGCAGTCCTACCCGAGCCTTTCTCGTGGCCCTCCCTGCCCAGAGATGGAGTCCTTATGATTTGTGAGCGGGAGGGGGTGAGCCTGACGGAGTCCACTTCATCCCCGTGCCAGTTCTCCTTAAACATCCCCCCCGCTGTGTAGGAGTTGGAGGTTTTGAATTGTGCTTTCACGCTGTAGTGTCCCTCCTGGTCATTCTCCAGGCTCCGCACCACCACGGGTGTGGAGCTGCCCTCAATGTATAGGGGATACTCTTTGATCCTGTACTGGGAGGAGGGCTGGCTCTGGCTGTGCAGGTAGACACGGTGGTGTCCAGTCCCGTTCCTCGCAGCCAGGTTGGGCATGCTCCCAGAATTGGAAGAGACCAGGTTGCCTGCTGATTTGTGCCTTTGCCTCTGCCGCTCTCTGGCTTTCGACGGGGAGTCCTCTGCCAGGGTGGAGTAGTTGGGGTTCATCTGCGCGGGGTAGTAGTGTTCAGAGCTAGAATGGCTGGTGCAGGAAGAGCAGTCGTCCATGGGGTCAGAGCCATTACTGCTACGAGTCCTTGGGGTGTAGAAATCAGGGCTCCCTGTCTCATTTTCTGAGCCGAGGAGCTTGCCTTGCGACTCCAAACTGGAGCTCCGATGTCTAAAGTGCTGAGCTAAGCTGTGCAGTCTGGTTGGGCTGATGTCTACTGACCTGCAAGTAACAAGAAAAAAATTCAAGCTGGTAAATCAACAGGATGAAGCACTCCCCATCCCCTTCTGGACACAAGGCCAGCTTCACAGGCAAAGGAATCTGAGGGCACTGAAAACCCGGACCCCTCCAGCACTGCGTAGGGCTTCTGGCTGCAAAGCAACCTGCTTCCCTGCTGCAGGCTTTGGGGAGATTAGGTCCTATTCCAGACTCCTTGGTGGCAGCATTCAGTCTGCAATACCACAGGGATATAAGCCCTTGCCTACCCCAATTCCTCCAGGATTGCCACCCTGGGAAAGATCCAGTCTGAAGGGCAAAACCTGGGGACCTCAAGCCCCAGCTTTGCAGGTGTGGCCCCACAGCAAAGCTGTTTGGATCAGCACCATCCCTGTGCTACCAGGTTCACCTCGCTCCAGCTCTGCAAATCCCAAGACCTTAGCCTCAAAGGCGGTGGGATTTCCTTCAAGTGGCCTGTAAATGCCCTGCACAGGTCCAGACAGACTGCCCATACTTAGTCCAGAATGCAGTGATTTGTCTGCTGGCCGTTGAGAAGGTCACCCTCTGTTAAGCAGCTAGGTTTTACTGGGGCCCAGCTGCAGGTAGCATGTGTAGGACTGTCAGCGGGTGACAGCCCTGCAGGCAACCACCCCGAACCACAGTTTACAAGGCTTGATTCATGGCCAAGTCTAGGTGGTCTCTATTCACCCCGGCTGTTTGGAGAGCCGTCCGTCCAAGGAGTGGAAACACCCCATGACAAGTCAACAGCCGCCTGACAGACAGCCAAGGCCAGGGCACGCAGCTCATGAATGAGCCACAGACTGAGAAATGGTTGTTTCAAACACCCAAATGGCCCCTAGCTGGTCAAGGCCACTTCACAAACGCTGTGCCAGTCTCCTTTCTCACACAGCTCAGCTCCAGCATTAACAAACATTGCACTCCTGAAAGGTACTTGCAGCCAAAAACTTCTAACAAACTTAACCCAGGGCCTTAATGCCTTGTGTTGTCTCTGCCCGAGCTGGATGTGTTGGCATGACTCTTGATTTATGCCAAGCTAGATGATGGTAGCATGTCCCCTTAGAGCAGGATACCTAACAGCACACAGCTTTGGCTCAGCTCTGCATCCCACAGCGTCCACGGAATTTGCCATAAGAGAAAAGCAGCAATGAAGCTGAATGGTCTGTAGAAATCCTGCTGGGAGTCAAACTGGGCCACACACATCAAATCACCTCCATTACATGCTTCAGGTCTTTCCTCTGTCAATCCTGGACTTCACTGCCACCTGGATCCTTGGGTGGATTGCTTTATACAGGCTTTCTCTCCAAGTAAGATCACACACATGCAAACATTTTATCTATGAGAGAGAATTAACGCTACCCATCATTTTGTATCAGACAAGAAACATGTTCTCTCCAGCTGGATCCATGGAGGAAATTACTGCAGAATTTAGCAGTAGCACCACATCCCTTTTAAAAGTGGCATGGGGTTTTCATGCCTATAAACAGTCCTGAGATGAAAGTTCCCAGTGGAAGAAAAGCTTGATTACTTTGCAGGAGCGATGAGGGGGCAGGATCATGTTCAGGATCTCAGTTCAGGAGAGATTCCCTATGGCAACAGTACATGAGCCTCTTCTGTGAACAGGACTCATTTGTGCCCTTTCCTGAAATGGGAATTAATTCATATCCTGCGGGAAGGATAAAGCAAAGAATATTTATTTCAGGGTAAGCAAGGTGAGAGCGGAGCAAGGAAGACTTACCGCGTGGAGTGGACGTAGTGCGGACTGCGTACCCGTAGATCCGGCGTCGATGGCATGCTGGACTGGGAGTTCCAGTGGGGAAGGCTCCGGATGGGGCTGTTCTGCAGTGAGCTGCTCCCTCCTGCCTCAGCACAGCTCCCAGTGCTGGGGAACCGCTTGTGACTGCTGTGGAGCAAACACCCTGCTTCAGTTCCCAGGCAGGAATTTGGGGGAAGGGGCTCCTACACCTCTTTCCAGATCTCAGGCAGGTGCCTGTGATCTTGTGGGGGTGAGCGGGAGCTGGGTCAGCTGCTGCTCTGAGTTGCATCCCAGAGCTTGTGCTTCTGCAGTAGCCAGAGGTCAAGGCGAAGCCCCATCAAAGCCCTCAGATGATCCACCATCATCCTTCCTTTCGCAGTGTTTTTTAAAATATCATTGAGATACCAAGCACCAGTCATGTGAGTGCAGCCTACTTTTTATGACATGGCTATGGGCCCAAGACCCAAAAGTCTCCTTTTGGTAAGGGATGGCTTTGTACATTTTGAAAGGGCTTACACCCAGAGGATGTCTATGGTGATGGGGCTTCAAGATAGCTGGCTCACCTGGAATGACTGTGTGAGGAGCGTTTCTTGACCTTCTCATAGGGCTCATCCAAGGATGACTCGCTCCACATCTTGGGTTTGATGGGGGACTTGTCGTAGTCGTTGCGGTGGTAATGCATTTGGCGGAGGCCTTCCAGTGACTGCGGAGGAGGAGGCCTGTTGTGCAAGGGTGGCCGGGGAGGGAGTCCTTTGTGTGGGGACTGGAGAGGGGATATTGTGCTGGTGACCTGAGAATCCTCTGTGAAGAGAAGAAGGGAGAGAGGTGATGGCTGTGTGGCACCTCCAATGGCAGCACAACTCCAGGGGACACCATCACACCTTCAGAGCCTCCTTCCTCACCCTGCTTCCCCTGGTTGCATTCAGGAGCAACCTGAAGACCTGGCTTTCGGAAGTGCACTGGCTGATATTTCCAGTCTGGGAGGAAATAGCCAAGCAAGTGTGGGATGCATTAAACCAACTGAAATCTTAAGAGAAAATAAGGGGGCATTCTGGGATGGTCTTCTGAAAGAATTCAGAGCAGTAACCACAGCAGTACTCATTGCTCCAGGCCCTGATGTCTTACAAGGTTGAGTCAGGGGAAACCAAGCGTTTTTGCTACTGGGATGTTTGAGTGCATTATTACACAGAACAGTTCCTCCATTTTGGGTGTCAATCAGGAGTTCACACATTCCTCCCTGTTTTGTTCTTGCCCTCTAGAACATAGAGCAGCCAACATACCATCCTCGAGAACAAGGGCATCCGAGAGGGAGCTGTCTTCACTGGCAATGTTTCCTTCTGAAGGGAAGGAAATACAAAGATGGTCAGATGGTCCCAAGAATCGCAGTGACTTAGTTCTGAACTGCACCGTGATCTTCGCCCACTGAGTCTTAGCCTTAAGCAGTCACCCACATCTTCCTCCTCACACAGCCAAGAGGCAAGATTCCTATGAACAACTGACTCAGCCCACTCTCTATCTCAGAGGGCAGAGCTGCAGGCCAGGTCTCTCACTAGCAGGCTGCCCTTCAAGGAGCTTCTAACTCTTTTCAATTAATGGGGATTAAGACTGAGTCACAACGGAGAGATGAGATCCTCAGAGGATGCAGAATGGCATGGCACCATTAGATTCACATCTCTGACTTTAAGGACTCTGGGTTTGATCTCACCTTCTTAAAGTGATCATCCTGTTGCTAACTAAAGGCCCACAGGAGGTAGGAGTTTTGTGTAATTCAGGGAAACACTTTCTGAGCATCTGCTGCAGCAGCAGGAGAAGCTCTCACGTCCTTGGCATGCACATGTCTGAGCTGTATCCCCCATCCCGTGTCCTCACAGCTGTCTGTTATTCCTGCCTGCAGTGCAACTTGGTACCCAGGTCACAAATGCAGCAGCTCTAATCTTAGTTCCCGCTACAAAGGCACAGAGAAAAGCTCTGCAAGTCAAAGGGAAAGGGCAAAATCAGCAAGGGAGAAAGAACCACAGCAGAAAGTTAATGGATTTCATGAAAAACCAATCAACAACCCAGTAAACCATAAAGTGCCCTGAGAATTACATTGTAAAGAAAAAGAAAAAGAAAAGAAGCATTTGAACACAGCAATGACACTGCTACCACTTTGATTTTACAGATGCCTTTCAGCTAGAGAGCTCACCCCAATCTGCTAACATTAATTACATTTGTACAGCACCGCTCCGGAGGATGTTAACAGAGCAATTTTATAGGTGAACAAAGGAGTCACAGGCTGCTTTCCTGACACGCTTATAATTTACAGCGTGACACTGCTTCTTGTACTGTGAACTGGCACATCCTTAATGCACAGCACACAGCCCAGACACCCATCTGACAGCACACTGGTACGGGAGAGGACAGTCTGACTGCCAGCACGCGTGGAGTCCTCCAGACACGAGAGGGAAGAGGAGGGAGGGGAAATCTGTGTCTCAGGGCAGTAATTTTGCTCCCTGCCCTCCAGAGACCCTTCCGTGATGCCGTGGGTGCCAAGTCCCACTTACCATCTATGATCAGGGAGGCTCTCTGGGTTGGCTTCTTTCCAGATTTAATGCGATACTCATTGATGGCATTTTCGATCTCCTGCAGTTTCTTCAGTGCGTTCAAGTAAGATGTCTTCCTCTGTTTCTTCAGCTTTTTGCTGACGTTCGGGTCACTCGCCAGGCGCCGGGCAGCCTCTGTGATCTGGGACTGAATGGCAAACTCCCTCTCCAGGCGCTCCAGCTCTGCCTCCTGGGGAAAGACAAGTGGATTCTAGCTATTACCAGACTCCTGGCCCAGCTATGGGGAAGCTCCCCCTGAACTTGGCCAGTGGCCTCCAACCAGGCTCTCCGTCAGGAAAGCATCCACAATCGTGCTGCTCCTCTCATCTCAGGGCCTCCCTGAGCATCCTCATCTCACCTTCATCTGCTCACACAAGTACAGCTGCTGGAAGGGACGATCCATACAAGGAAGACATGTGTGCTCCAGCCCTAACCCTGCTGTGCCGTTTGGCTTTTTGTGCAGTTCAGTATGGCCTAGTTCAACAGTGCTCTACTGCTGGTATATTCATCCTTTTCCACCCATCTATGGGTAACTCCTGCCTCCCCCCCACTCCTTCTCTGCTTCCTATCTCCATATTTGAGCCCTATTTGACATCAGTGCTATGTATTGATGCAAAGCTACAGCTTTGACCTTCTTGACAGGTTTGCTTGGCACCCACCAAACTCTTTGGGGTAGAAAAGCCAAAGATGGGCTAATTTCTCCCTATTGTATAACTGTCAAAATCCAGGGGAGAGTATGGGCTGAAGTAATTTTCAGGAATTTTCAGTTGGTGGTGCAACTGACTGCACCAGAAAATTGTGTCCTCAAGCCAGGAGGGTGATTTCAGAGCAAGCAGTAACAGCAAGCTTTCTGTATGCCAAAAAAGGACTAGTGCCTTCAACATTAGCCCTTGCAGAGGCTCTGCTGAGTTTTTAAATTCGGCCAGCTGTAACTTGGAATCTACCTACTGATTTTTAGTCATCCTCCATAGTCAAGGTATTCAGGCCAATTTATGCCAACACAGAAGCTGATATAGAGCTCCCTGGTCTGCACTGGGACCCCAAGCTGTGAGTTTCAAAGGTACCTGCTAATCTCCAATGGATCTGGCTACCTTCCCCAGCTCCATGGAGTTTTTGGTGTTGGTCTGCTAGAAAGGGAAACACAGTACATTGCAAATTAGGGAAAAAATTACAAGATTTTTTACTTCTAGTGAATGGTGGGAGTTCAGATCACAAGCACTGACAGCCATATATTCACAGAGATCCCCATTACGTAAATTCAAATCCTTTCTCCTTGTTTAGCAGCAGCATATGCTGCAAGAGCTGATGCTGTAGGAAATAATCAGGCTGAAGTTGTTCTCTGAAGTTTTTATTCTGGGCTTCTAGCTCAACAAAAATCCTTTCACTGTCAGTGGTGTGTCAGCATTGCCTTAAAAACTGTAATTATCATTTCCCTCACTCTACTGAAGACTGAACCCACCCCCCACCTTTTAAACAGATCCTTTTTTGCTTTGGAATGTTTATAAGCTCTATCAATGCCAAACTTATTAAAAGTGAATTTAACACCATGGAGTTTTAAGGCCTGGAACCTGATTTGCTGTCGTCTGGTAAAATCCTTCCCAGAGTCAGGACTCACAGACCAGGTAGAGGCAATTACCAAGAAATACAATAGGACCTTCCCTGCAATTCTTGCTCTGACAAAGCTCTTACTAAAGGTACAGTGAGTTTGATGTGAGCTGTCATTTCAGACCTTCATAGATTTAGTTCTAAATCATTCAGTATATCTTAGAAAAAACATATTAATTTTCCTCAAGGCCACAATTGTCTATTTTCTTCCAGTGAGGCCCCTATAAATAAAGCCTCAGAAAATGAGGGCTATCATCTGCCTTCAGATGGAAGTGCCTTGCTTCAGGTCCTTGTCACAGTTGGTAATATCAGTCCTGAATTTACGTGACTGAGTATTTCACCTCTTGTTTTAAATTGAGTTTCTAGTGTTTGTACTTGCTGAAAGGTGCATGAAAATCATCACTGGACTCTTGAAATGTTCTCAAACTGGAAGCCAAATAAACACAGCTCAACATCGTTTGTTGAGAACAGAAATTTATGGCTTTCAACACAGTCTTAAAGTTTGACAGATGAAAAGGGAGGTAGAGAAAAGCTGAGTCAGCATGTTTGGATTGCTGATGCCAAAAGGCAGCGTGCCTGCAATGGGGAGGAGCTGCTTTACCTTTCATGCTCTCCTCACCTAACCTTGCCACCAGAGTAAGGATATTCCTCACCCGCTGGCCCCAAAAGTTGCCTTGTAGCAGTAAGATCTGGGGAAGCTGGAGATCAGGTTATAACTGAGCAGCCAACAGACTGCAGGGGTTTTAGGAGTAATTCAGCTAAGCCGTGCTTCCCTTTGAAAAGCTTAATTAAATGTGCTAGTTCATGAATATTTGACTTTGGTGGAATTCCTCTCCCAGGCTCCATTGAGAACCAAACTAAAGAGCTCCAGCTGTTTATTTTTTCAGCAGAAGGAAAATGCCAATGAAACGACAAACAGTTAATTCCCTGGCTGAACCGAGCCTTAAAACCACACAGTCACACCAGCTTCAGTCTCTCCTCTTACAAAAATAAAAAGGAAACTCAAGACTGGAATATACACAAGTGTCTTGAGACAAATGCGTCTCTACAGACAATAGCTTTTCTGTGAATCCAGTCCCGCCTTACAGCTGCTGCAGGGCTGTTTTCACAGCCACGGTTCAGGGCACTGACCCAGCACATTGTGGGAGCAAGGGAAGAGAACAAACACTCCCTGGCAAACTTAGAAAAACATAATTCCAGCTCCCCATAGGTAGGGATGAAGGGTCTTTTGTTTAAGGACTGGGGAGCAAAATGCTTTCATCTTGCTATTGCAGGACTAAGATGGATAATTGTGATGTTTTTTCTTCCCAGTTAGGGGAGATCTGAATTCGGATTGCTACTGAAGCAGAAAGCAAGTGGCTGTTTGCAATAACAATACAGGGCAGCAGCAGGGCTCAGATGGCTCAAGGGGCTCCTGATATGCTCCCTACTCACACAAGTCACTGCACTTGGTCACCAGAGCTCTTGGACTGTCATGGTCCAGTTGGTCACCCAGGCTATTTCTGTTACCTGTTGCAAAGCCACGGCTGAACCTTGAGGGTTTCACCCTTACTGAACTAAGGCCACCAACCCTCTCACTGCTTTCCCCATTCTGATGGATATAAAAAAAAGGCATTGTGACCAACTGCAATCATTTAAAGCAGAAATGACTGCAGGACTGATGGATCCCTATGTGATGCATAGAGACCTGAAGCAGGGACACTGGGTTGGAAGGGAAGGGCACAGCCTCACCTCTCCCTTAGGCAGGATTTTCTGCTCATCCAGTTTAAAGGCAGTTCCTATTCTTCTCCTTACAATAGGTGGCTCCTCCCCAGGATCTAGGGGGTATTCTCGAGGCAGCTTTCCTGTGAGCTCCTGTAAGCAGAAAATGTTGTTAGTGATCTGAGAAATCCTGCAGCAGAGGAAAGCACAACACCACCCTTGAACTGTGACCATAAAATGACAGGCGTTCATTAACTACATATCCAGTTCAACTAGCTGATAAACATACAGGAGAGCACCCAGCCCTGCAAACTCATCCCAGAACCTGACACTGAGGTTGGGGAAATTTTCTTTAACCTCTGCATGAATACAGATTTTTGTGGCCTGGCCAGGGTAGGTCTGTAGGTGGTGCCCATCCCTAGGGCGTTGGGGCCTGAGGCCGAATGGACTGCAGCACACATGCTTTCATTTGCTGCAGGGTGAGCAGGAAAGAAGAGCTTCTCTCTGCTATTTCCAAGAGGAAAGAGAGTAGATCTGAGAGCCTTCATGCAGGATGCAGGTCCGCTGAGTCAGAAAGCCCCACTGGCAACAGCAAGTGCAGGTTACAACCCGCACAGAAAAACATTTCCACCTGATTCATGATGTGTCTGAGAGGAATGCAGTGAAAATGGTCACTAAAAGCAGTGCCTAGTACCTCATTACCTGTCTGATAACACTTCATGTATCAGAGCCCCTTCCAAACCCCAGTGATGTCACGGGCAGCTTTGGAGCAACATTAGATGATGCTTTGTCAGACTGATGGGGTTATTTGCAAAGATTTGCTCAAAATCTGAAGCAAACCCCACACAACTGGAGGAGTATCTGGAACACAGAAAGCAGTGAACACCACTACTGATGTTAACACTGAGAGATTTTTTTTCCCCTGGACTATACAATACAGCCACACATATCTGAAGTGAAGGCATTCAAATGCCTACAGAAAAAGGCAGGAGCCTCACTACAAGCACAGCCTGACTCCTTGTACTCAAAAGCCTCCCCATGAAGGACAAAAGGCTTTTGTGTTCCTTAGCATCAGCCTTGAGAGGATCCAGCTGGCAGAGTAACCTAAATCATCTGAATCCCAAAGAACAGCAGCTGACCTTAATGCGAGAGCACAGCCCAGGCCCCTGCCTGCCCTGGCCTCTTCCCCGCTCCCTAATGGGGTTTTTCTTTCTACTCTTTTCAGATCACTAGGAAACAAGGACCTGGCCTTTTCAAACCATTCCTTTAAGCAATTCCCTGTGTTTGCAGCACAGCTCTGTGCTGACATGCACAACCCCCTTCTGTGAGAGGCACTGTTGCAGCGTCCGAGTCCCGTTCTGCACTGCCCCTCCAGCCCTGTGGGGTTATTCCAACTTTTCTTCCAATGTGTTCCTTCTAGTGATATGTGGCTCTAAGCACTGCAGGAAGACACAGATTCCTGTACCCTTTCCCGAGGGAAACAAGGATGTTTTCTTTATAACCCCTAACTTAATATGAAGCAGGGCAGTGGGGAAAGAGTTAATATCTTCTGTAAAATGCACAGGAATGGAGCAGAACAAAATTAATGTGGGCTACCATGCTGCCTCCATAAGTTGAAAAGTATTCACAGGCACGGTCCTGAAATGTAATCTAAATTAGTAAGTAACTGGAGTAGTGATGGCCTGAAGTAACCTAATGCCACTGTTATGAATGGCTCTGGCTTTGCTTATTTGATTATGCCCCCACTTTTAACCCTTTTTTATCTCCTGGTTTGCCACCTGCTTCCTCTGTTTTGGCCACTCCCATGCTAAAGCAGAAAGGACGAAGGGCAGCCTGAGAGGAAATACTTCCAACTACAGGCTGCTGATGGATGAGCTGTAGGGTGGCGAGATGGGGTCAGATTCCAAGTGTCCGTCAACTGCCTTTCTCGGATCATCTACAGAAAGCACAAACACTTTCCACCAGTTCTTAAGGTGCTGACAGATGGGCTCTGGCCAGCCTTGCTGCAGCATGTTAAGGAGATATTGCTCCTTAGCACCAGCTCCATGCCCCAGCAGGAGCTATTGACTGCATCCCAGTTGCTGGGGAAGTGCCTCAGGCTGCAGCACAGATGGGGCTGGGGTTAAAGTGAAGGCACTGGGCTGTGAGCTCCTGCAACCATGGCACAGGCACATCCTTCCCTGCATTCAGGGCTGCTGCAAGGCGTTAGGCATCAGCAGTCAGACAGTTAGCTTAGCGTGGTCAATTCCTCCAGGGCAAGCAGAGCCCTCCAGACCTTGTCCATCAGCCCTGGAAGCGTGTGTCTGCTTTCTGCAGATGATCTGAGCTCTGTACTCAACCGACTTACAAGACTGAATGTGGTCTCGCAACCTTCATCAGCACAAATTGTTTGCTGAAGGGAACCAGGAATTCCCAGGTGGGAAAGGACTGCTTGTGTGGAGTAAAGGACGGGAAGCGGGGCAGCAGAGACTGCTGCTGAATTTCTTCATTGAGAGGTATTTTCCACACCTTATTTCTTATTGATGTTTAAAACTAATAGAAACAAAGTGCAATGAGTGCTGAATCAGTGACCTATTTCCCCCATTTTTGTGAAAGGCAAGATACACATCAAATATTAAACTGGAATAAATTATAACTGAAAGATCTTGGTGGCACTGTCTGCAGCCAGCCTTCCTGTTGTGTTACACATCATGATTTGTTGTTAAGGTCAGATTTTGAGGTAAACACAGAATTGTTGAATGATCCAAGTGTATGCTGCTGCTAATCTCCATGCACATCTGCAGCAGGGTTGTGATTTCCCCATCTCTAAACTGGCCTCCTGTGTATTCCAAGAATGAACTGGCAAGTGAGTGGGAAGGTTATGAGATGAGCTCCTGAGCTGTTCTGCATGTCCTGGGATGACCACAATGGTTTTTCTTCACAAGGTCTGCCACCACACTGCCAGTCCTCTCCAGCAGTGCCAGAGCTCATTGGATGAAGGGAGTCTACATGGAGCAGATGAGACCTTGTCTGCTGTAAGAATGTGCTGGGAGAAGAAAAGCATGTAAGGTCAGGCTTGCTCTAAGATAAAAGTATCAGCCTGAGGTTTTTTTTGCTAATGAAGTAAGAAGCATTTGAGAAGTGATTACCAGTACACAGGACAGCCTTCCTGTGACATTTACGTAGCTGCATATTCTCACCAAAGTCAGTAAGAAGCCTGGCTGAATGCATCTTAAACACAATTTCAAACAGCAGACATGGATGCTGGACACCCTCCCAGTCCCAAGCTAACTGGGTACCCAGCTGACATGGGGTCCCCTTCTCTGCGTGAGAAATGTCCCGTGACCTTGTGACATGGAGCTGAAACAGCTGGACCTTCCTGAGGCCTTTGTACAATGGGCTTTGTAAGAGGTGACTGTGGAAGGAATCTCTTCTCCTGACTCCACACCACCTCCACAGAATGAGCACGCTACAACAATACAAGCGACAAAATGTTATAAAATGTCCATTGCCTACCGCTTCTCGGAGACAGAGTTTCTTTAGCTCATCCAAGCGTTGGCGCAGTGTCTCTTCCAATGCTTCTTGCCTGGATTTCAGTGCAGCCAGCATGTCTTTCTTGGCAGACTGAGAACTATCTGACTCTTGGGAACCTATCAATAAACAATGATTTCACTAGGCCAGCTGACAGCAGAATACACATCTGGAGCTCTTGTCATTTTACCAAAGCCTGGATGCAGTCCTTCCAAAAATAAATTAGACCATGACATGAAGCAGGTGTTACCCAGTTATGTTAGTTTATGGCAAATTCTTTATATTTAAGCTAACAGAGAGAGATTGGACAGTGGGGCACACAAAGACATTTGTGATCATTATTCAGAAAAATAAAAGCAACAAAATTTTTCATGTAAAGATCCTAGAAAAAAAAAAAGTATGATTCCTACGGAAGTTCCCAATGGCAGATAACAGTACAGTTTACAAAGCCCTGGAGATGCATTTTTTGGAAATTAAGCCTAGGAGAAACCATTTGAGAATACAGCCTATTTCTTAAGAACTGCAATTGTACTAGTAGCAAACAATTAATTCAATCCACTTGCAATGCTCGTGCTGTGAAAAAAATGTAATGGAACAAAATTACCTAGCAAGATTCCTGCAAAACACACCAAAATAATAACCCATAGGTCGTTCTGGGATAGTAACCATTTCTTGTGAAGACATAAGTCAAGACATTTAAACTGGATGTCCAAATGGCTTGACTTTTCAAGTGGCATTTACTCAGCAACTTCCACTGAAGTACGCCCCTGCATTAAGTCAGACTCTGTTGCTCAGATGTCAAGACAGCATTTGTAACTTCAGCTCTTCAGGGGAACTTACTGATGGGGTTCCTGATTTTATTTTGGTTTGGGAGGGTGCACCGATTGCTGTCCAAATCTAGCATCTCAAAGGAGCAACATTGGTTGCAGCCATTTTTGGGTCCCCAAGTTGAGCAGCTGATTTCTTAGGATGCGCTTAGCATTTGCCCTCTTTAATACACCTCTGGGCTCAGGGATGAGTTTATAGTGAAGTCACTACTTCGCTTCAGTCACCTTGTTTGCATAAGCCAAATGCATCCTTTCATCACAGAGTAAGGACATGAAGGTTATGGCCATGCTGTGAAATGAAAAGCAAGCTCAGGAAGGAGTCGACTCCATCTCTACATGCTTTTCACTCATATTACTGGCTGTTGTTCAGCCACAGCTGTAGTTCAAAGCAACCACCTTTGGTTTATGGAAAGCTAAGTTCTGGTATCTGGGGTGGATTCAGCAATAGCGTCCCATGCCTGTCTGCAGATAACACTGAGAGCTAGAGCTCCACACAGTCTAAAGCTCTGCTTCCCACACAGCGCTACAGCTCAGCCTAAGTCTGCATCTGATTGCTTTTTAATAAACTCTACAGTGGGTCTTGAGCTGGGCTGACTAGACAGGGCTGCTGTGGCTAAAGGGTTGCTCTTGCCTCAGCAGAAGTGTCTAGGTGATCTAAGGCATCTGAGATGTCTTCCATGGGGTGGCAGATATGATACAGGACCCATTGAGACCCACACTCTTTTGGACTTGCAGTGGGATACTGTGACTCACCTAAAATGGCACTAGACACCTATATTTAGACAGCTAGATTGTGCTCAGCACTTTGCAGGGACTTCTTGTGGGGTACTGTAGGTTTATGCCCGCAGAAAAACCTTTGACTCAGCAAAGTTTTCAAAGGGGCTCCTCCTAGTCCTCGGTGGTTCCCAGTAGTCTCAGCACCCACTGTCCCAGGGTGACTCTGCGGGGCTCCCCTGCCTCTCTAGAGCAATGGCACAGAGAAAGCAGACATTTATTATCTGCAGGAGTCTGATACAACAGGATTCTACATGGAATGCACCTGCAGGACAGGGGTGAGAGGGGTCTTCTACATACATTTGCAGCTTGGCCTCCAAGCATGCAGTGAAAACACTAAGCCCAGGGAGCTTGCAAATGCTGCCATTTCACAGAACTCTGGAAGAAACCTGGAAACAAGACTTTTTTTTGGGGCAGCAAAACAGAGTGAAATTTGTGCTTTCAGCTTCATCTTTCATTGCTACTATTCCAGCATAACGTTAAAAGCTAAACTGAAAGAGGATCGAGGCAAACAATGCCATGAAACAGTTCTGCACTGGCCCAGGGGGAGCAGAGAATCTCACAGATTTTTTCCATCAATATTTTCTGCAGTTTTCATACAGGAAGACAGCTGGCACTTACTCTGTAAAACACCACCCTGCTTTGTTAGACCTTTTATTGGGCTGTCCTGGAGTGGGGAAGGTGGAGAAAGGTCTTTCTAAAAGTCAGCCAGGTTGGGTATCATCAGATAAAGGAGAACAACTTCACAGTAAGATGTTTGTTTAGTTGCTGTAGTCATCCTCATTTCATCTGGGTTTGCCCTCACAGAGCAACAAAACTCAGTTCTGCAAACACATCTGTGCTGCAAGAACTTGACGGGCATCTTCTAGAGGAGCCTTCTATTTGCACTGGCAGGGAAAGCCCTCTCTAGCATTTAGTAATTCTTAACAGTAACCCTGGTGAGCAGTTACTAGTCAGATTCTTCACTGAATTACCCACAAACTGCTGAGTTCCGGTAAAAAGTTGCTCATGGTTCCAGCAGATGTTTCAATGCTTTTTTTTCTTCTTTCATGACAACTTTAATGACCTACGTTTTTCTTTCAACTGCTCTTCCCTTCTCTTTCCTCTTTCTGTTCCCTACCTCCACACCAGCCTCGGATTTATTTTTAAAAGCTATTAGATTTTGCACTGCAGGATGCCACAGCAGCTACATAGACGCTGAAACATTTAAAAGCATATGAATAGCCTAAACCCTGGCCAGACGCCTGTGCTGATTCGGGGTGTGCCGACAAGAGGGAAACAAACGGCTTCTGGCTTTGCTGGTACAGACCCAAATCAAGCACAGACGTTCATGGCATCTGCTCCAGCTGTGCTCACCCTGTGTGAGAACCACGCTGGTCTCCTGATGTGGTTGGTGGCAGTGACCACTGAGTGAACATTTTGCCATCTTTTTCACCTCTCCCAGAAAGCAAAGGAATTGGGGGAGCACCTTAACACATTCTGAGTTAAGCAATGGGATTACTGCTGAAACCAAAGTCAACCACTCCTTGGCACTAATGAACCAGTTTAAATTAACCTCTTCCAAGTGGGTCTTTTTATCACAGACTCTTCTAGTGTAGCAAGGGTTCAAAGGCCAGGAGACAGCACTCAGTTCAAGGCTTGTGATGCTGAATTTTTTTGGTCTCACCATACTTAACTTGGATGATCCCTTGGGCATACTGCAGGACTTACATATTTCTTCACACCCTCCTGAAGTTTCCTTCAGAAACTGTTTTGTTCTAGCTGGTTTATTTATTTATTTATTTAAAAACTGAACTATTTTGGGGTGTATTATTAGTTTTTTATGGGTTGGATTCTCTGCTTGTTCTCACAGGTGGAAAGCAAATGGAAATTTGACCAGTCAAGAGAATCACACCTATGTGAGATGCTTCTAAAGGAGCAGAGAACAGTGCTTTGTACTGCTGAGGTGCCTACAGCTTCTACTAGAGGCTCTTTATTTATGTTTTAACTTAGCCTTGAGTAAGGCTGTGACCACAGACCCACTTCTAAACACACTGGCAATTGACCTAAAAATGTCAGAAGAAATCAAAAGACAATAAAAATAACCAGAGAAATAATCAATGACCAGCACAAACTGAACCAATCAAGCAGATACTACCTTAAATCAGCCTTATTAAATATGATGCTCACTGAGTCATGGCTGCCCAGTGACTTCCAAAGGGGATCATCAACAGAGAAAATCACTCCTGAAAGATCAGTCCTATCACGAGAGACTCCTGCTGCAACAGAAATGGTTGACTGGGAGGCTTTCTCAGGGTATTTTATCTTTCACAATTAGGGTTAATTCCTAATGGAGTAAACAGGCAAAATGTTGCTGAAATATGTAACCTTTCAATACTGAACTTTCCTGTGAAAATTATGATTCATACTCCTTTCCATTTGCTGTGCAAAGATTTACCAAACTCTGCATTTTAACACAACAGTTCTGCAGAACTGTTTGATGACCCTAAAAGAGAGAGGGTTGTGAAAACACACCAAGCACAGGGCCATCTCTTTGGTGGGCACAAGGAACCTACTGCATTGAGACCTGTTTTTGCAGCTGATGCTGCTGGTTTAATTTCAAAGGCAAGGCAATTGTATGTGCCCTTTCCTCTATAGCATACAGGATGGGACGCAGGTCTTGGTGACCTGAACATCCACTTAATACCCTATTAATGGGTGGTTACTCTCTTCTTCGCACTTGGCCTCTCTGGGCAATTTCTCCATCCACTGACATTCAGGAGAATGTTAGCTGTGAAATGTGGGGAGAACATGGTCCTCCATGCCCAACTCACTCCTCTAACAGAATTCATGGCTGAGCTTCTTCACTAGTGCTAACAGCCTGGCTTCTGATCCCTCCAATACTGGTGAGGTCAAGACCGTCTTGCTGATGTTGATGGGGACGTGAAGCAAGTGAGTCATCCCCCCAAAACGATCTGGCCAAGGCGATCTGCAGGGCCTCCTGCCTACTGGGTGTCAGCTTTAAGACAAGCTTTGCTTTACAGTTTGTCAAAGGGATGAGACCAGCAATGTGAGCAACCATTTTGGAAGGGAAAGCCCTACCAGTGGTTCAGTGTTTGTCCCCATTTCCTCCACCTATTGTAGCAGAGTGGAGTCAGCTTGGAAAAGGGATAAATGAGAAGGATGAAAACAAGCAGGGAGGATAATAGCAGAGAGCACCAAGGTTTGGTGACAGCAACTGTGAGGGGAGAGGCAACAAGTTGGCTGTGCAGTGGTGAGGCAAAAGCATCCAGGCATTTCTTCTCTTTCTCATTTTGTGAGTCTCCTACTCCAGGAAAAACACATCTAAACATGGCAAACTCTTCATGCTACATCCGGCTGCTGGCTCCAGCTTGCTGGCGTTTGGTCGAGGTCCCCGTGGAAGGTTGTCCCCCGAGCAGGGAGGGGAGGTCCCCCCACGCTTGCTCTGTGCCAGAGCCCAGGCTGACTCACCGCGCCAGGATGTCAGTGCACAACAGCCAGCAACCTCAGACGGCCGCTATCTCTTGTCTCTGCCAGACAAATAGGATATCCTCCACGCTGCGCGGGAGCCCAGCTGGAGCTGGCTCTGCACAGGATGTGCTCAGATATCCTGTGAGCAACTCGTCTTCATGAGCCCCCATGCTGGAGGCTGTGTGGGTGCTGCTTATGTGCTCCGACACCCGTCAGGGTGATCCAGCTGGGAGATGGCCCCGCCGGATGGAGCGGCGGGGGCCGGGAACTGGCTGGCTGGGCTCTGTCATGGCATTTTCCAATGTAAACAGGCCCCTGCACAGGAAACCTCCACTGCTGATGAAGGAATGGGGCTCAGGGGGCCAGAGGCTCCTTGAACATGTCTGCAGAGCTAAAGCAGAGGTGCTCCTCTGTGGTCTGTCCTCTGCCCACTGAGATGAAGAAGGCAGTCTGGGGTTCAGCCCATCAATAACCCAGCAATAACGGGGCTCCTTGATAGCTAGGAAACCTGCAGAACTCTTAGGGCACAGACTGCTCTGAAGAAAGAATCCACCTTAGACCTACCCTGATTTTGCTCCAATAGTTACCTCTGCTGGCTTTGATTAAGGTTCATGCCAGTGTGAAAGCAGAGCTTTTATTCATGGGAAATTCTTGCCCCAGGTGTCCAGGGATGGCCCAGAGATCCTTGAGCTAAATCCTAGCAGCCCACTGTTTTGGGGGCCCCCTTCAGAGCCCATATGAGGTCAAAAGTTAAAGAGTGAGCTTGTCAGCAATGCACTTGGGAGCATCAGGTATCAACCTTACAGCTCTGCAGTGGACATAGACTGAGATCGAGGCCCTGGGAAACACAGAGCAGCTTAGGCTTTGGCCCTGAGTTGCTGTGACCACAAGGAAATCACTGTCCCTGTATAAGACTCCATTTCCCTGCTGCTGTGTCTTGAGACTGTAAGTGCTGTGGGGCAGTGACTGCCTCACACTGCACAGCAGGATCTTGGCCAGACAGTGTGACAGCTGGAAGCAACAACAAATATTTCCTTGTAGCTTTGCTGCAAACCCTGGGGAGACATGCCAGCTTTGGTGTGCTCCTCGTGCTGACAGCCCCTTTGGTGAGGAGAAGCAAGATGGAGAGAGGAAATGGCTACAAATAATTTCCAAGAAAAAAGGACAGAGAACAGTAGGGAAGTGGAGACAGAGATTCAGTTCTGACCTTGTGATTTCAAGTCACTCAGGGTATTTATAGCCTGGAAATCCACTGTGGCCACTTAATCATTTGCACTTATTCTCTCTAGCGCGCAGGCTGTGCTGCGATAACCCATCATTGTTGTGACTGTGCGCCGATAATCTTTGGCACAATAGGAGGAAACACAAAGGCTGGGACAAAGCCAGTGACTGTGCCCAGTGGGACAGGCAACAAATGCCCCTTCCCGTCCAGTGGGACAGGGTTGGGTCACCTCTGCCAGCCAGGCTCGAGGGAAAGGGATCTTGGAGCAGAGGGGTCTGGGTGACTGCGTGGAAGCAATCCAAGGTCTCCAGTTCCCTGGTATCTGTCCTCCTCTGACAGATGTCCTCTCTCTACACTTCCTTCCCAAGCGTGCTTGTAGCTGCTTGAAGGCACACAGCAGCAGCAAACCCAACAGTTCTCCTTAACTGTTGGGGAGAGTTAAGTTAAGTCAAGTCTCCTTAAGTTTGGGGAGAGCACTGTCCTTAGGCAGGACCTAAAGGCAGTTCTGAACACAGAAACCTGGAGGCAGCCATGCTCACCTGGTCCACCAGCAGCACCTCAACCAACACAGAGGTTCATGAAGTCCTAGGCTGGCATGCAGGTAGACTGATCCACCTACCCAGGCCTGAAGAAATGACTCACCTGGTCTGTGAACTTTGCATGCGTCTAGTCACTAGCACAGTTCTGCTGAATCTGCAAACCCCATGTTCAGCCAGAAGGGGTTTGAGCAGGAAGCAAAACAATACAGAAATAAAATAACAGTTTGGGATTTCCATACACATAACCCTAATGGGTACTGGCCCTACAGAAGCTTTCATGGGCCTGATGTTCTTTTGACTTTTACCTGGCTACTGCTCTCCCAGTGTGAGAGCAGAAGCAGACCTCCATGTTTTTTTTTTTCCAGGAAGGCAAAAGTCAGTGTATTAACATGAAAACAGGATCACTACCAAGTAGCTCTCACAGACTTGGGAATGGTGCCCAGGAGGCTGAGATCTTGGAAAGACCTTAAGAACTTCCTTGGGGTACTTAATATTATTTACTTCCAGCAGGAGAGCTGGAAAAAAATGCCAAACAAAGAGCTCCAACAACCCGATACCAGTCCGGGAGCTGCTCAAACACCTGCAACTCCCTGAGCTATGAGAGGGCAGAGACAGTGGATTGTATACTGCATCAGGAGGACCTAAGGAGCAGAAAGCATTGCTGTTTGCAGGCAAGGCAAGGAATTGCACAGCAGGCTGCTCTGGAGCTCTGTAAGCATTGCACATTTTAATCCTTGCTGGATTCTCTCCATGCAGGAAAGCATGTCTTTTAAAAGACATGAAGGATTCAGTGATGCAAAGCTGATCTACTACACCAGTGTGGGTTCAGTTTCAAAGCATCTGTGCTCTTAGATGGACTCTTCCCTTGTCAAGCATGGGGAGATTATTCTCTGGTGCTACACATCTCAACACAATCAGTTTTGATAACTTGATGTGATGCTTAACAGAGGGGCATTTCATTGACTGGAACTGTAATTATAGCAATACCAGCAACTTTTCCCTCCTGAAGAGCTTCTCACCTGAGCAGCTCCAAGCTCTTTGCAAACATCAATCCTTGCTTTGCTCCTGGAATGACATTTAGCACTGTTTTACACACAGATTGCCCTGTTCAGACTGACAGAAGAGTGTAAAAGAAATACAGAGAAGTTCCTGACTCATCTTCCCTGGTCTTTCTCTTCTGATGCTCTAGCTCTCCTCTGTATCAACTTATCTTGGGTTTCTTTCACATATTATGTCTTCCTCATAACAGATAGGTGCTCTAAGCCACAAAAAGAAATCCCTAATTCCCCACACTAGTAGGATGGAGAGTTCTAGAGAATAGCGCTTTTGAGGACACCAGACAAATTCCAGCAAAGAGAGGCAAGGCAGACGTACACTCTGTGAAGAAGCCCCTCATGACTCAACACTGCTGAGGGACATCGCCAATTCCCAGCCTCAGTTTCCCTAGTGAGCTGCACTGGCTGACTGCTTCCTCAGTGCTGGCTGGGGCTGCTTCACAAATGCATCTACTAGGGATGAGCTGGGTGCCAAGGGGTGATTATGGAAGAAACTGTGAAGAGAGACCAGGTCTCAGCTGGAAAGCGCAAGGTTGGAGATGACATCCTGGGGCCAAAGAGGAAACAAGCAGCAGTGATGAGAGAGGGGGAAGCTGCTGCCTCTGCTGTTTGTGGGGCAACATGCTGAGAGACACAGTGACACCTGGACAGACAGAAAGGCTGAAGGGAAGTGACTTTCATTGCTGCAGTGCAGTTTCTGGCTGCTCCCCATTATACCACAGCCATGGCCCTTCACACCATATTCTCTCCAGTTACAGGATAAAGGACCTACCTGATGACAGAAGACTCCCGCTGCTGCCGCTGATAATTTTGCCTTTACTCCCCATGTTGGCCAGCTTTGAGGTCTTGAGAGTTCCAGTTTCAGTCAGGTCAATAGCGATCTCACTCAGGCTTCTTGCAGCATGAATCTTGGACTGGATATGGACATGAGAGTTAGTAATGATCTAGCACTTCTTCAAAGGTCACAGAAGGAAAAAGTCCTATTGCTCTGACAGGAAACAGGCCTCCACAGCAAACTTGGATTATTTTACAAGAATAGAAGCAATCTGGCACAGTATTCACTGCTGTACTTTCTGCATTCTTAAGTGGGTGCAATTCTGGCATTGCTTCCTGTTGTTTGTTGTTTTCTCTGCTTTGCCATGGACATTTTTCCCTCTTAAACAAACTATGTATGGAGTCACTGTGTTACCACATACAATAAGAAACCTTCAGAAATGCCAACATAATAAACTGCAAAGCTCAGAGGCTAAAGACCATCTCTAACATCTAAAGGAAGCCAGGAGGGGCCTTTTCAAATCTGCAGTGAGCTCTGGACCAAGAAACAGTGAGGACATGGCTTAAGCAGGATGTCATGAGAAGCTGGAAGAAAATACTGGCATAAAAACATGTTCAGGTTATGGTCCAGACTAACAAGCCACAAACAACGCTCGTACTGTGAGGGGACTCTTCAGAGCATTAACATCACTCCAGTAAGAAACAGCCAGGCCCAGTTCAGCAACTGGCCACACTAGGATGAGGAGTCACCCATTGTACACACCACCAAATGTCAATGATGTAGCCAGGAGAAAGTTAATATGCATACTCCATAAACCTGTCCTAGGAGGGAATGAGCTGACTTCCTAAGATGTCATCCTTTTTCCAACGGTTATGGAAGGATTTGAGACAACAAGATGCCCAGAAAGTTCAGGTGAGGTAACTCCAGAACTTTCTCTGCGTTGAGCAGAGAGCTCAGATGTGATTATGCCCACAGAGCCAACAAAGGCAGAAAACATTCAGGGCAAGGGGGGTAGCAGCACTGAGCAATGAAATGAGCATAGCAACTGCTTGCAGGGTTGGGCTCACTCAGTCCCAGTGGCTGCCTTGCCTCTGCAATACAAACCCCACTGTCAGTAGCTCACCATCTGTCTCCAGTCCATTCTCCTGACAGTCTCTAGTGGGTGTTTCACATGAACAAGAGGATCAAGGACATTGATGGAAGTTGCTGGGGATGGCCCTTCAGTTATATCCCTTCTTCTTGGGAAGAAGAATCCTATATATAAGTGTGTCTTGGGTGGCCACAAAAAGTTTTCAGTCCTTTTCAGTCCTTTTTCTGACCAGTATAGCCTTAAGATCACCTTAAAACAGCAACTGCCACATCAGAACAACCCTTTCTAGTCCTCTATGTCATTTCTGACTGGAGTCATCTCCAAAATATTTTTTCAGAAAAAAAGTATAAGGAAACATTTCATTAAGCCATTGTGGAATAATCTGTCCCCATGGAAAATTTCCTCCTGCCTCTTCTGAATTAATGCTTATGCTCTGAGCAATATTTTATGTATTGGTTGTTGAATTTGGTTCAGGTAACAAGCCATGCTAACAAGGAGAGAACTGACAAGGAACAGGAAGAAGCTTGCTGTCTGTAACACAGCACACAAAGATGACTGCTATTTCATCTCCAACCTGGAAATCAGTGTCTTGCTCGCTGACCCTCAGGTGAGCTCCTCAGTCACCAGTGGACAGCACTTGGAACTCAGCCCATCTCCCAAACCTTGCTGAGTTTCACTTAGCCTGGCCTTGCAGGGCCACTGACCTGTAGTTTTGATTTCCTAGGACCCAGAAAACTGTTGGCATGTTGTGCCGAGGCTCTCCAGCTGCACAAAGACTTCTGTTCCAAAGTGGTGAAGCCCCAGTTCAGGATCACCTGAGCATTCACCTCTGCACCTTCTCAAGGTCAGAACTGACTCTCAGTCCTAGTCGTACAGTTCAGGTGATGAGCACATCATCACAGTGCTAACAAATCAGAAGCTGATTGATGTTCACATACCATGGTGTGATTTGTTCCCACTGGAAGTCAAGATGGGACTACAAGGAACCCTTGCTGTGACAGCATTTTCAGCGTTATTTCATATCCTCAGGAAGCAGAATGCATTTTAACAACTAAGGCTGAATCGATGGCTGAATGTTCACCACACTGAGCTTTACTCTTAGCTCTGTTACTGATTTGCTGTGGGGCTTTGGGTAAGATGCTTAAGGTTAAGTTCTTGGCGATCCCTGCCTCTGTTTGCACATCAGTGAAATAATAAGTGAAGTAAAATGTCTCCCTGCTGCACACTGTATTTTTAAGATTAATTTAAGAATGCAAATGAAGACAGCACTGGGAGAGCCTTATGCTGAAAACATCCTCAGAAGTACTATCATAATTTAATATTCTTGGGTATTTATAGGCTCCACCACTACCATTCAGAGGTACCCAAATGCCTCACAAGCTTACTTCCACAACTCCAAGAATAGGGTTTACGCTCTCACTCATTTGAGTGCAGAGGCTGAATTAGCTACCCAGATGTCAGAACAGATCAGGCAACCAGTACTGACCCTCTTAAACTAATGCTACAACCAGTTAGACACTTCTCATTTCCAGCAGCTCCTCCCCAAAATCAGCCCCCAGGAGAAGGATAGCACTCTTTTAGCTTCTTGGATCTGACTTGGATATGATTATTTCGGGTCAGAAACAAGATCTGTGAAACATGTTCTCCAAATAGCTCTGGAAGGTTAGTTCTAGGTGAAGAGGAAAGTCACTGTTTTTATCTCATGAGATTTCCTGCTACTGAAGTCTTGATAAGGAGCCTGAGCAATGCCAGATCTTTGGAGGTAACAAGTCTCCAGACTGCTGCTGTCCTGGTGATTTATCCCCTGCAGGTGTATATATGCTGGGTTATAAACGAACCCAGTCATAACCCATATATGTAGGGCTATGCATACCTTGTAGAACCCCGGGAACAGCCGTACTGATCAAACCCAGTACCTGCCTAACCCAATATAATGAGTCCTTGCAGCAGATGTCTAGGAAAGGTACAAACCCCAAGTCTGCACAGACAGATCGTGACCTCTTGCTCTGCGAGGTGGTGGTTTTCCTTTATCTGTAGGATAGCGAGAAGCCCTGTAGTTTATTTCCACTCATACTGAGCCTGCAAATTAGGACACACTCTGGCTCTACCTGTTTGACTGGGCACCAACTAAAATGCTGAGTAAAGGCAATGCAGCTGGACGCTGTTGTGGTCCTGGCTGGCATGCCAAGCCAGCAGCAGCTGGCAGTGTGCCCTACACAGGGCAAAGGAAAAAAATTATAAGACCAAAGCCTGGGCATCCTGGGAGCTGGGAGAGAGGAAAGACAAACCAGAAGTGAGCAGATGGGGGATCAGCAGGGCAGAGTGAGCTTCCTCCACAGATGGCACAATCCCAACCTGCTGAAGCCACAGAAGGCTTTAGACCCATCACAGTTGTGCTAACGCTGCCCTGCTCTAAACAGTGGGGATAATGCATCTCCTGAAAGGAATGGGGTTAATTTTCCGTGCTGCTCAATCCCTGCTGCCTCTGCTACCTACAGCAATGCCAATCAGCATCGGGTGGTCTTGTGCTTTGGACAGCCACTCATCAGTGGCAGGAATCAGACCAACAGCTCATTTCATACAGGCCACTGAGCAGCAGCCAGCACAAGGCCTGGGCTAGACTGTACTGACAGCACAATAGTAGAAAGCTAGATTACATCCCATTAGCTCTCCCTTGGGCCCTGCAGTCCCTCCAGGCTCAAAAATTTTAAAGCACTTAGCACAGACCTGCCAAGTCTCATTTACATGGAGGGAGACTGCCTCATTCATGAGTCATTTCAAAGCAAGGGGCCAAACTGATCCCCAGTGTTGTTCTGACAGGGTCAGAGGGTGAAGAAAAATCCATCAGTGCAATGCAAGAGTAGATGGATACTAGGGACGAATTTATCCCTCTTGCTTGCAGTGATGTGGCTTTGCTGCAGGTGATTTTTTGAAACCCTTGGCCTATTTTCTATCTGTTCATTCAGCCAAAAAGCCTCGTGCTTGGAGGAACGTGCTGTTGGAAATTCCCAGAAAATGGGACTTCTCAAGGCTTCTAGGCCAAATGTTTGATTGACTCAGTGCAGTCAATGGAGCAAAGACATGCCTTGAAGTCCTGCTGCATCTGTCTCCTGAAAAAAAGGGAAGCTGACAGGAGTTCTGCACGCTGACATGTTCACTCGGAAAGCTGGGGATCTTTTCAGTCTCCATGTTACGCTTCGATTGCAGGGAGAGAGACAGACAGAACAGCGGGGAGCGAGATGCTGGGAACTCGACGAGCTGGCAGGAGTTCAATGCAGAATGAGGCTGCAAAGAAGTCTGGGACCTCTCTTCCTTGCAAAAGGCTCAAAATTTAGGCAAATCTGATTTTATTTCTTTCTAAAATCACATGAAGGGGGTTTTCCAGTAGACCTGTGCAAAACGTCCAAATCCAACTGGTGCCCCGTTATGTGAGGAACAGAGAGTTCAAGCTTGCTTTATCACTATGTCATATCTCCTGCCATCTAATCTACATCACTGGAGTGAAGGTTCAGCTGCAATGAGCTCCAGCAGGCCTTTTCTTCTAAGTTTGTTTTTATTTTTCTTTCTTTTGTCAAAAGGATATGAAATGCCAAGTTTGGACATGAAAGAAAGGAATATCGAAGTTCTGCTTTGAAGTTGGAGATTCAGCTGAAGGGGGGGGGCTGAGATTTAACGGGATGCAAACCCATGTGACCTGAAACTCAAATAAATGTTTGTCTAAGCCCTTGACAGCTGAAACGAAGATATTTCACATCGCCCCAGTCTGGAATATGTTTTACTGGTTTTCAAAAGTGAAGCACACATGAGTACAGCACCCTGAAGTGATCAGCAGGATGAACTGAACAGATCAATTAAAACTGATGGATCTATCAATCTTGACGGTGTCATGTCAAAGACAAGGACAACAGACTAAAATACCAGCTTCCTTAAGAGAAAGGGACAAAAATATCTGTATGCCTTAACTTCAAAGCCTCAGCATGACCACCAGGATTATTGTGACAAAGCACACTGACATGGTCGTAGACGTGACAGGTTGACAAACGAGGGCTGGTGGGTGGTGCTGTCTGTAGGAGTGTGAGAGAGGGGAGATCAGATTGAAACACAATCTGCTAACAACAAAAGAAGTCACTGAAGGGAAGTCCTCGGCATTTAAGAGACCCAGTTTCTTACCAAAGGAATGGGAGGAGGAGGGAATCTCCTTTTGTTTGTTGGTTGCTTGTAACCTAAATACCTTGCAGCTAGATCAGCAAATCCATCTGGCTAAAAGTAAAAAAAAGATTTCTGTTTGTTTGCGGAGTTGTTTTTGTTGAGAGCAAAACAGACCATACATTGTCCTGGTGGTGCTGAGCAGAGGAGGGGAACAGAAAAGCACTACTTGGTATTAGGTGAGCGTGCAATTTTGTTCACATTCACAGCTGGCACTTAGGCAGGGGTGGGAAGTTAGCCCCACCCCTAAATTCAATACAGTTTACAGCAACTAAGATGAATCCTGTTTTTTTGCATTAGATGGGACATGGCCAAAGTGAGCATAACCAGGTGTTCTGCCCAAGGCATCTCAAAGTCCTAACCCACTCTACAGTAAAGCCACAGAGATCATGACTGGGGAAAGCAATGTCAGAAGGGTTTAGAGTGAGCTGGACTAATAGCACACTGATGGCCCTTCACATCATTTCAGCAAGCCAATTCAGTTCATTGAACTGGCAGAAAAATAATGCAGCAAAGAAAAAGAGGAAAAAGAAATATTTTTCTGCCAGTTTAGTGGGCTGAACTGGCTCATGAAGGGACCTGACAGGGCCAAGGCCTGTGCAAGGGAGAGGGCAGGCCCTGCCTAAAAAATGCAGGCAGTGCTTTTAGAAATAGCAAGATGTTAAGATTGCTTCAGCCATTTGGAGTAGTATCACCCTGCATATTCCTGCCATCTTACCTCTGATGGGGGGCAACGCTAGCAGAAGTGTAAGAAGCTACCCACTCTATCTTTTCTGTAAAGTTTACTTCAGCGTGCTCATATGGAGAGGGGTGTCTGCGTAAGAAGTCTCTCTTCTGTCTCAAAGTGATCTCAAAGTGATCAAAGCAATCTCCTGCTGCTCTGGGTATGCCTAAAGTTACTGTTGATGAAAGGAATTAAGAGGGAGAACACACACTCCTCTGGTTTCAAGGTGGTTTCTTTTGTGTCTTGAGTGGCCCTTTGTGCAGCACCAGATCAGGACAGCTTCTTGTAAGGCAAGGCAGTCAGCATCCTGCCCCCCTTCTGTTGTGAGATTCTGTGTGGAGAGAGAAGTAACATCCCTACCTCTCATCTCTGTGAACATATGAGAGTAAAAAAGCAAGAGACAGCACGAAGTATTCAAAAACAGGTGGAGTGTGAAGCTACTTTGAACTCAGTTATTGGAAGCTGCCCTAACTTTATGACAGAGTTCAAGAACCAGAAGACATGTGGAAACGATCCAGACAGGGTCGGAACCCTATCTGCTTGCAAACTTTAGCTCCTCCAATTTGGCTGCAGTTCAGCACAACCTTTCCCTCAATCCTCACTTCCATAGACATAAACTCAATAAAAATTCTCTCAATTTGTCCAAACCCAGCAGATATTCTGAGTCAATTTGCCTTTTTTTTGATCTCAGGTGGAAAGGGAGGGCAGGAAAGGAGCCACCATCTGGATTTGACCTTGCTGGGACTGTGGGGAGTGAGAAGGACTCACCCACTGCAACTTGCACTTCCCACCTCCAACATACTTACCTTGCTTTGCTTTCTGTCCAGGTAAAACTGATGTTGACTAATGGCCATAGCCCAGATAGACTTTATTAGTGCTGGACAGGCGTACCACGTATGCACAGCGATGCCACTATGCCCAAAAGTCCTCCTGGTCACAGATGCCCTGGAGAGGAGGAAAGAATGAACTGGGGTTACACCAAGGTTTCCTCAGATTGTTTTCTGTGGCAGAAGCTATCACAGACCTCATAGTAAAAGCTGCTGTCTTTACTGTGCACGCCCTTGTGCTAATGGGAAAAAATGCTTAGAGGGAAGCAACAAACAGCTAATCAAGCCAGGAGAGCATTTAGTTTAATAACTCAAGTTAGCAAGCTCCAGAGGACTAACAGTAAAGATCATCCAGTTTGTCCAGTTCAGACAGTATTCCTGAGTTTGGCTGAGCTGTTGCTGACCTGCTAGCTGTGCCAGGGGAGTCACCAATGTCAAAGCATGTGTGAATCCTCTGTGTCTCATCACATGCTGAGGCCAAGTCTTCACACCCTCCACTGTCTCTGACTTTGGACAGTGGCTCTCAAATATTAGGACCCAGGTGACAACTAAAGATCCACAGGATCAGTGGCTGCTTTAGAGAATGTGGGAGAAACTCTTCAGGTACCTTGATTTCCCCAGCTGTAAACAGATTATCAGGACTTCCCACGTGGTATGGGAAAGTGGAGTTGGGAGGCTTGCAGAGGGCTGCCTAGTGCCCTGGAGAGAAGAATGTTACTGGGCGATTAGCTGAGTGAATATAAAAACAGGAAAAATAAGAGCTAAATGTTTCCTCTCTGGGACTCCCAATTGTCCTCAAATATTAGCAAAAAACACAGGTTAGGTTTCCCCATGCTTTCACAGCTGTACAAAACCACTTGATTATTTCTCCCCACCCCTCAACTCTAACCCCACCATCAGAGTCCCCGACACCAGCACACACAGGCTCGCAGTGTCCTGGTCTGTACAACTCCCACTGCAGAGATGTAGCACTGCCTGCAGTAAACCAAGCTACTGATCTACAAAGCCCCAAATAAATGAGGTCCTCCTCTCCAGCCTGTTAAGAAGAGTCTTGTGGTGGAGTACCATTATAAAAAAAAATATGAGTACAGAGGCTATCTCAGAAATGTGACACTTTTGTTATAACCTTTCACATAGGGACGTGGATGGTGAAGAGGGGCCAGTGCAAGAGACAGCCTGGGGAGCAGGGTGTGCTGCGGGGGGGGCTGCCACAGTCCATAGCCAGCAGGCACTGTGTGGTGCAAATGTGGAGGTGACACTGCAGGACAGCCCAGGAGCTCTACTGAGCAGTACAAGGGATGGTCAACTCTTTCACCAGCACTCAGAAGTCCTCAAGCCTGCTAAGGAAGCGGTTCCCCTCCTGCACCTGCACTAGTCACCTCGTCTCTGGTGCCTGTGGGCTTACTGCCCTCACTAAAACTGGAGGTTAATGTGGGGAGAGGAGGCACACAAAGGAAGTTGTGATAGAGACAAGAATGAAAGAAAAGCAAAACTGCAGCAAAATGGGAACTGCTGACCAGGTTCAGCCTGGGAGAGGGCTGAAAGCTTTCTGGGCCTTTTCAGTGCTGCAGAATGTGCTAAAGCCAAATTGTGAAGCTACAAATTGGAGTGAAATTTCTCTGAGAAAACAGCCGCAACCAATGCAAACAAGGTCTGAGACAACTGGGATCTCATGTTTCAGTGTCACCCTGTGCTGAGTCCTTTCCATGTGACTGGAGCAGAAGACCATGTCCCATTCTGAGTACTGCTCTTGTCAGAAAACTCCCCAGGGATGCAACAGGATGGGGGCTGATGGTCCTAATGAGGATGGTGCTGGGCTGCCTCATCCCTGTCACTGGACAGGGAACGAAGGCTGTGCTGGGAGGTGCTCTTGAGTTGAGGCTGGAGAGGGGATCCAACTCTGGATGCTTTGTGCTGGGACACAAACCACTGCACCACATTGGCATATAAGGCTTAAGGCATTAAAGCACTCAAACATGGGCTAAAGCCTTAATTCTGGTGTCATCCTATTCAGTTCAAATGCAGTTACTCATTTTGAGCTCTCAGAAACATACTCTGCAAGCCATTCATCTCATTCTAAAAGCAGTGATTTCCATTTTTTTTTTTTTCTTTTTGGGATCTGTACATGTTTCCCATCAAAACTGCAGACCCTGTTAGAAAGTCTGCAGACTTCGCTGGTCAGAACTGTGGACTTGCTTTTCACAGTTGTCTTTTGGGGACCTGTGAGAGATGGCCCATGGGTGTTTTTTCCATGACTTCCCTCCACATGCGCTGTGCTAACCCTGTTGTTACCCCCTAAAACATATAATTTCCCTCCTTTACGGGATAAGTAACTGCGATGAAGAGAGGTTAAATGGCTTGTTGGGGACAGGAAGCCACGGGCAGAGGCAGGGCTTAAAAACCATACATTGTGCTGCCCAGCCCTGGCCACAACCACGGAGCAGTGCTCGCTCTCTGTGACTGTGGCTTCGCTGACTCAGGCTCTGGTTTGGCTACAAAGAGAGGAATGTGGAGAGAGCACTGTGATGGCTACTCCTCCGCCTCCATACGCTGAACAACTCCTCACAGGAGTCCATCCCACTTGGCCAGGAAACTACAACCCGAGCTGTGCTCCTACCATGCCGCTGCAATGTGCCTTGCTGCCTTACAGCCAGAGTACCAGTTTGACCTGGATGGTGGTACTCTCTAGATGTGAAAATCAACCAAATTAATTCCCTTGTAGTGAGAAAGTACCAGGCTGACAAGCTGGGATAGAGTTTTGTCCTCCTGGTGCTGATTCAGAGAAACAATGCAATGGAATAAAAAACGGAAGCTCTTCTGTGTCGGTAATTCTTATCATCTAAATACAAATGAGACAGAAGAGGTTCTTCTGTGCAGTCACATTTCATGCATGACATTGAGTTGCAAATATCATCATGATTTTAACATCCCAGAGGGATGTGATTTCTTCTTTTTGCAATTGCTGCTTCCAGGAAACAGCCAGCCTGAGCGTTTAGGGGCTTCTCGCAGCACACGTTTCTGATACTTCGTCTGCTGCGGGAGGCTTGGTGGGGGAAGGAGTACGCCACCCCCAGCCCCTGGTGCTGGAAGATCTCCCAGCATATTCTCAACTTTGGGAATTTGCTCTGCTAGATTTCATGCGACTATTTACATGGTTAATATTAAGCAGATGCTTTAAGGCTCTGCTGACCTGGAGCTGCACAATGATACGAGCTGCCCTACTCAGTTTTTGCTTTAACAAAATGCACCTATGGAGACAAGCACTGTTGTATTGGCGTGACCATGTTTGTATCGGGGCAAATACACACAGAAACTGCATGCAAACTTCCCTTGATAAAAGTACATATATCAGTACACAGATAGGCACGGGAAACAGGTGAAACAGGATCACAACTGAGTGATCAGCAAAACACGCTACTACTAGCAGCACATCAAATCGGTCTGGGAAGAGAGCTGGTTTCCATCAGCGGTATTCACACCTACTTTGCAAGTGGGACATTGCTTTTAGCAAGAACAACTTAGAGAGCAACATACCCACTAGTCACTGTCTGCTGTAACCATCCACTAAGGAAAACGAGCAAGGGGTGCAGAATGTAGTAATTAGATGCAGCACAGTCACTTCAACTCTCTTTCCTACGTTAGGTCTTTAAAGTAAGAAAAAAAAGGCTTCTGTGCCAAAAAGACTGATGGGCTTTCATCCAGAGTGCCGGTAAACCTCTGGTACTGTGCCATTCCTTTCAGTTGTGCTACTGAATATTTATTTACTAGGAAGCATGTGAGTACAAAATCTGGCGCCCATCTCCAGGCTCCAAGTGCAACACAGGGATACAAGGGAAGCCCCCTTTCACACACAGGGGTTGCTGGCACCGCAGCTGGGGCACCCGAGCTGTACAGCCCCGGGGGTCAGAAGGTGCCAAAATAGAGGGAAGAAAAAAACACACCGCTAGGAGCTGAGGGGAAACACATCCTCAAAAACACCCACTCGAGCCCAAAATGTTCTGCTGGAAGGAAGCACCAGCCCCCGGCTTGGTACCCGCCGCCCCTCGCTTACGGGTTCCTCAGCTACCAAGAGCAGCAAGTCCCACAGAGCGGTGGGGGGAGCGGGCTCGCCACGACCCGACTCGGCGCTGCAAAGCCCGGCTCGGCAAGGCTCAGCATGGCTCAGTCCTGCTCAGCACGGCTAGCCCGGCTCGGCAAGGCTCAGCTTGGCTCAGAACCGCTCAGCCCGGCTCGGCACTGCAAAGCCCGGCTCAGCCCGCCTCGTCTCGCCTCATCGCTCACCTGCGCGGGTCGTGCACCTCCACCGAGAACTTCTTCTCGCGGAAATAGAGGTTCTCCAGCTGCCTCCATTGGAAGATCTGCGGGGAGAAGAAGAGGATGAGGCGCCTCCGCGCAGTCCCTCGCCCAGCCCCTGTCTCTTAT